ACACACACACACACACACACACACACACACACACACTCAGGAATGAACGCTGAAAATCAGGTCGTTGTTGTTTTTGTGTTTATTTCTGTTCAAATTAAAATGAAATGATGAGTAAATTTGGGGACAGGAGCTCAGATGAAAAGCTGCATGAGTTCACCTGCTGACTGAAGACTTTCTTTCTGATTTTCTCCTCTTTACAATGATGCTGAAGAAGGAAAACTGACACTTGTTGGCTGAACTCATGAGTTCACGTCAGGTTTTCAGCAGTTCGTCAGTCACATGACCCTCAAACCTCACGTGCTACTGTGTCTCTGCAGGAAGCTGCTGTGGGTTCATTGTTGCCTGAAGCCCCCCCACACCATCACAGCTCCGTGTGTCACCATGGAAACAGACTGTAAATAAAAGATGGGCGTGGCAGAATCAGAATAATCCCAGAGGAAATTATGTGGTTACAGTTGCTCCAAGACAGTAGGAACAGTAACTAAGTAAACTTAATATTACAATATGTTACAAAGTTACAAATGTAACTAAATCCATGTTCCAGAACTGAGTTATCGTTGAATCATAGTGAGCTGCACACTCACAGTCATCTGCTAATTAATGTGAAGTGAAAGACGAACACAATACCAGAATTTTAATTCACCAAAAGTGAAGCACAGACTTTTTGGATGTTTGCATTAAAACTGCTCCAGAATCGATGGTTCGTGTTCAGTGACTGCAGTTTAATAAGGAGAGAGACTCTGAGAGAACTGAACATAATTTATTGAAGCACAGAGTTATAAAATATTAGAAGCTACATTGCAGGGCAGAGCCCCAGCAGCAGTAGGCGGTAGGACGGGACCCCCCGGAGTGTAGCGGCTAGTGGTGATGGAGAAGAAGCAGATGGAGGTTTGGATGAGCTGCAGGACAAACGTGAAGGACAGAAGAGCACTGAGGTTTACAGAAGGCAGCCAAGAAAATTCAGTTAATATGGGAAAAATGAAGCAACACAAACACCAAAGACTGCAGATCTGACTTACTGATGTGGAGGCGGGGCCTAGCAGACACCTAACAGCATCTACCTGTCAATCAAAGCAGCCACACCCCCAACTTTAACTTTAAGCTTGATCTAATTGAAAAAGGTGAGTTATAAAAATAATCACAGTCGTGCAGTTGTGACAAAGGAGGAAACGTCACAGAGGCGGGCGGTGTTTTTGCTTCAGGGCGTGCTTATTTCTGCTGTAAAGGTGAACATTTTAACACGACTCTGTGGGATTTTGAAGTCCGCCTCGAGTGGACGTCAGAGGAACTGCAGCTTTGGGCACCTCCCTGTCATCACACACTTGTAGATGAATCCATCGATCTTCTGCTCCTCACACAAACACAGTTCTTAAAATCTCACATCTGGACTCCTCCTACGTATCAGTCCAGCTCTCTGCAGGTCCAAAGTCCACTCCGTATGTTTCTGTTCAGGTTTCTCTGCAGACTTTCATCATGAAGGTCTCCTCTCAGCCAACCCTTTCAGTGTTTGAACTCTGAACTTTGCCCCTGCTGCAGAGGAAACTCTTGGTCTTTTCAGCCTCGGGTTTTTTAGCTTTTCAAGAAACTTTCTTGAAATTTTCCCGACTGACTGCAGCTTCATTCAGCTGGAAACTATTCCAATGACACCATCAGAGAGACACTGACAATAGTGTGCACGCCTTCCTTCACGTCATCACACCGTCTGTAATATGTTCTCTAAAATGTCCCATGTATGAAAAGCAGATTCTGTGCGTGCTTTTTTTGGTTGTGTTGCCAAGCTGATGTTAATCACGCTCCAGGATGAAATCCTTTGTGCTGCATTTCCACACCAGCGACCAAACATCCCTCTTGTTGGTTTAAATTTGAATAGGAAAAGTTTTTTCCCATCGTGATCCTGTTTGCAAGGCGAACAAAAACGTGCAGCATGTGGACGAGCACGCAATTAAAATTCATCTGAATGTTCCGTGAGCTTTTAAAGGTTAATTTATGATATGTTTATTATCTTTAATGTGACGATCACCTTTTGTCTGTGGACATCACCTCCTAATTAGATTTTCTCCTGCAGAACACACAGGTTAATTAAGCCGGTTCACGACTGACGTTCTTCTCTCTGTGTGTTGAGAGGCTGTCCCTGGAGGAGGCCGGAGCTGAGCGCCGAGTCCGTCCCCGGCGCCGCCACGACCGTCGGCGCCCACAAGCTGCAGCCCTGCGTCCTCGAGCTGTGCAAGTTCTTCTCCCAGTGCCTGTGCAGACCCTTCAGCCACAAGACGCGCATGAAAAGGTCTGCAAATTCCCCCTGCTGCCTCCAGACAGCACCGCTGCAGACGGCGGTTTGAATTGTACTCCTGCTCAGAGTGTTGCATCACTTATTTCTCTCAGCTGCTGCACTTCTTTAGGTGGCCACAATAAACCCCGGCAGTGTAAGGCAGAGACACACACAGGTAGACAGAAATTACAGGGTGAAGCTTTCTGAAGTATTCTTAACAAGAATGAGTGGCTGACGTCATTCGTGACAGTTCACAGCAGCAAATGTTAAAATGAAGCCGTTTGTGTTCTCGATCTAATGAGCACTGCTCAGAAAATGAGAAGAAATCATGCTGGGTATGTACACTGAGAAGGACCGGACAATGTGTTATTCATGCTGTTTGATGGAAACAAAGATTATCGACCTGCAGAGGGCTGGATTTAAAAAAAAACCTGAAAATCAAAGTGAAACAATGATGCGACAGGTCAGTCGATTTGGCTGAAATTTTAATAAATTGCAACAACTCAAAATGATGCTCAGTAGTTTCTTTTGGCCCCCATGTGGTTAAATACAAGCCTGACATCCCAGATCTGAGCCGGGGCATCACTGGTGTAATCCTTGTGGCGTCAGAGGTGCTCTGACTTTTCTTACCCTGCTTGTTTGAGGGTTAACGCCTGTGCCATTCTCCTGGTTTGGGGCTTACAGCTCTTACTACGAATGATGAAGAAGAAAAAAGAGCGAGTTACCTTCCCCAGGATCCGTGCTGGAGCTGGGTCAGAGGAAGAGGCCAGACAGCTGTGGCTCTTTGGCTCGATCGCTCAGCAGGTCGGGCTGTGGAGGTGAAGTGGTCTGTGGGACGGGCAGCGTTCAGGGTGGAAGTCCTGGTGGTTTAATTCCCCTGCTGCCAAAACCTTTTTTTTCCTTTCTGTTTGACACATCTGAAGTCACCTGAGAGGGACACCTCCTAGGTGAGGTGTTTCAGGCATGTCTTACCTGGTGGAGACCCCCTGAGCAAACTCAGGACGTCCTGGAGAGATTTATGTCTGCCCGCTGTTTTGGGAATGCTTTGGTGTGATCAGAGACCGTGGCCACCTCCATGTAAAGACTGTATTTGCTTGCAGGTTAATCATCAATTAAAATGTATATTTTTCATTTTGAAATTGCTCGGACACGTGGCTCAAAACAAGCCTGATTTCTGTCTGTTGAAAGCTGAAGTTCCCACTCACGGCGAGCTGACTCTGAAGCAGAAGCTCAAGGTCAGCGCTTCATGCTGTCATCTTGTCTTGCAGGTACTGTGACGACAGCCACCTCTGGTATGAGAAGCACACCTCTGAAGTGTGTCGGCGGGTCAGGAGGGTCTCCTTCTCCAGAAGTAAGTGGACAGCGTGAGTCATTGACCTGCCGGGCTCTGATGCTCGAGGCTCCCTGTGCAGTAAAACCAACACCTGCAGCAGCAAATTATAAACTCAGCGCTTCAGCCTGATACAGCCGTATGAAAGAGTTTGGGCGCCCCGGGGCAAACTGCATATTTTATTGATGTTTGAAGAGAAAAGGAGTAAACTTTTCAAATCTGTAAAATATTTCTGTAAAATATGCAGTCGGCCACAACACTGGATCTCTGCTGCCCTCGCCTCCGTATATTAGATTAACTATTATCTATTGATTTTGTAGGAGTTTGTTTAGATTTTGACCAAGAAACTTGAAGGAAACATGCACCTCCAAAATGTTTGAGCTAACAGGAAAGAAAGTAATAAAAAATAGACATTTTCACACTGAGAACATGAAGACATTCATAGTGACGAGCGATTTTAAAGATTTTAAAGCAGTCTGATCACGTATGTTGAAAGGAGTCAGATAAAACAACTGATGTTGATCCAAATCCTGAAGGTGCTGGTTTGAAACTGCAGAGCACTGAGAAGTTATTAGATGTATTACTGAGTCTCAGTTAAACCTTCTGTATTTAATTCATCTCATATACACTGAGAATGTGATGATCAGACAGTTTTTTTTCTCTTTGCTCTGTATGATGTCATCTTGTAGTATGAACCACGCCCACTTTATGGGGCAGCCAATGAGGAGAAATTTGGCTCAAAGGAGGAGGAGCAAAAACTGCTGGTTTGAGTCAGAGGATGGACTCAGTAGCTGCACTGAGGCTCAGCAGGAGTTAAAAGTGATTAATTTAAACAGTTATTCATGCAAAGCTACTCAAGTATCAGCACGAGGCATAAAAGAAACATGTGGAGCTGTAAGTTTAACATAGAAAATAGTGGCTATGCTTGAGGAGTTTGGAAGTACAGGAAAGATGTGATCTTATTAAGTATCAACGGTGAACTGTTTCTCATATCGGTGCATTTTAAGCTATGCTGTCACCCTATGATAGAAGATGAACATGTTTTAGGATAGTATTCATGTTGTGCTCTTCTAAGCACTGCAGGAAAACCCAGGGATGTTTAATATTCCTAAATATATGGATAGGATGATCGGCGGGTTTCTGTTTGGGTTCCTCGGTGTGGAAGGATCTGCCAGAGATGAGAAGAAGCTAAAACCTTTACTAGGTTTTAATGTTGGAGTGAGAAATAACGAGGAGTGATTACCAGAGGATCTCTCAGGCTGCTTTTGTGTTTCATGGTGAGAAATTGCTCACAAAGAGGAGAAAACAGGGAGCGATAACAGCGATAACTTAATTCAGAAAGCATTTAATGACAACAGGCTGACAAAAACATTCAGTTTTCATGCTTACCCTACAAAGCTCTGCTGACCGAGAACAGAAAAATCAAATCTCACTTTAATTTTGCTCCGTTGTTACTCAGAGAGTCGTCGTTGATCATCTGAAGCTGATCTGAAGTCTGGGTGCGCTCGTTTGTACTTGGTACTGATTAAAGCGGCGATCAGCGCTGACTAGAAATGAAAGGCTGCTGTAGACCAGGAAGATGAAAGATTAATCACCCAGCTCTCAATTTCTCTTATTTATGCAGCAAAATGTTCCCACCGTGGAGCCCAGCTGCTGTAAAGGAAAATAGTTTACACATAAACAGCAACGTTACCCAGCTGACCAACATAGATGAACTTATTCCAACATGTGGTTTAAACCCGCGCTATTGATAATGGCCAGCAGGAGGCGACTCACCGGCTCAATCAAATCATAACCTCGGTAAATTCTGAGTTAGTTTATGTTCTCAGTTGCTTGATCAAGTCTTCCTAAGTACCACATGATGATCATTTTGTAAACTATGGTTTGCATTAGCTTCCAGTAGAATATAAATCAGGGCCCGCCTGACCGACGTGTTGCAGAATCCCTCGGTTTCCCAATCGGATCCATTCGTGCAGTTTCTGGGAGATGTGGTTGGTTCCGAAGCATCTGAGCTGCCGTTTGAGTCTTGCAGCATTTAGAGAATTACTGGATGTGCGAAAGACGTAAAAGAAGCTTTCTGTGGCTGCTGCTGGAGATGTGTGACATCATGAAATATGGCCGTAGCTTCCAGTTCTGTCTGCATTCTTTCTTCCGGTAGGAAGCGAAACCCGGTGTGCAGAAAAGCCCAGACTGTATAGAAGTCTATGAGAACATGGTTGTCCTGCTCAAAGAGTGTAAAGCCGGGTCTGTCTCAGTAAGCATGCAGAGAATACAACATGATGTTGATTTGTTGGTTTCTGAGCTGGTTGTGTATAAAATATGGAGGAAGCATCTGAAATGTCACCCACTGATGTTTCACTCTTAGTGTTCCATTAAATAAAATACATTTTATTCACATAGAGCCAAATCACAGCAACAGTCGCCTCACCGTGCTTAATGAAGACCCGACAATGATAATCAAAATCAAATAAAAACTCAAAATTTATTTATATAGCACATTTAAAAACAACAGTTTTGATCAAAGTGCTCCACAAGTTAGGAAATAAATAAAATAAGACAGATTTACTGTGGTGGGGCGTGGTCTCCGGTGCCGTGCAGGCAGGGCGGACGCACCTGCACGGCACCCTTAATCACGCCCGCCGAGTTAAAAACACGGGGACTCGGGGGTTGGGGTGTGTCGTGGTGTGACAAGTATTGAATAAAATGGCTGAAACCTATGATCCCTGGACCCGCCGAGTCTCATTCACACCATAGAAACCAACCAAATGATAATCAAAATATTTTACGTCAGAGCCAGAGTAAAAAGGTGGGTCTTTAAACGAGATTTAAAAGGCTGAACGGTCTCAGAAGAGCGAATGAGAGCTGCAATAGCAAAGACACGATCACCTCTGGTTTTCAACCCAGACTTAGGTTGCGTTAAGAGCATCAGGTCAGAAGATCTTAGTGCTTTTTTAGGATTTTACAAATGAAGACGTTCTGTTAAATAGCACGGGGCAGTGTTATTTAAGATTTTATAAGCGAGTAAAAGAATTTTAAAATCAATGCGAAATTTCACAGGAAGCCAGCGTAAGTTAGCTAAAACTGGAGTCATATGATCACGCAGTCTGACACCTGATAAAAGGCTGCAGCAGCGTTCTGTACTAACTGCAGACGCCAAAGAGAGGAGTGAGGGAGGCCTCAGTTACAATAGTCCAGTCTAGAGGTAATGAATGCATAAGGTCAAATTTATTTATGTAGCAGATTTAAAGCAAAGTGCTAAAATAATCAGATGAGATGAAAACATGACAGGACACGATGACGGCAATTAAGAAAGGAAACATAAAACCTATTGAAGAAGAACACTACACTGAGTACAAAGCTGAGCCGTTTTTCCTCATTCAGAATTTGTGGCTAACTATCGTAAACATGGACGCTGAGCTGTTATCAGAAAAGGGTTAAAACGTGAACGCTGACATCGACCCGGGAACCTGCACAGGGAGGTGAGTGAAGGATGGCAGGTCCTCTAAATGCCTCGCGTGCTTCAAAACACCAAGATGAAAATGATGAAGACGACTCCCAGATCCCTGTGACGTCACAGTTGCTGCTTCCATCTTTAATATACAGTCTGTGTAGGCCTTTTAACAATAACAAGGAGAAAATCTGACGAGTTAGGACCGAGAAGTGAAAGCCTCAAAGATGAGGTCATTTTGTAGTTCTATAATGACTTGTTGTTTCCTGCTTCATCAGTAAAGCTGGTACGAGAGTCGATCTATGTTGGTGCATTTAAAGCACACCGGATAATTGGGAGCTCGCTTCCATCCTTCACCTGTGCTGATGGCGACGTGTCGGCCCGTATCACAGCTCATTAGAGCAGCAGCTCTGCAGGAATCTAATGGGCTCAAGAGGTTGTGGAGAGAGTCGCCTCTTTCCCGGCGTCTGACACGCCGAACGATTCCAGCGGCAGGCCGTCGAGAGGCCTGTCAGCTCAGTCCTCCGGCTCTCATTAGACCTCCGGGTTTATTTTTAGACTCCGATAAACCTGATTAGAAAGTGACATGAAAAGCAGCGAAGGCAAAGATTAAAAACTCTCAGCTAACAGCACAACATCGCAGAAGCTCCGGCTCATTTACGGGGAGCAAACTCAGGGTTGTTGGAGTTTTATGGGTAAGATTTCAAGCGAGATCGCATTCATTTCTCCACATAATGCTTATTTTATGATTAAGATAAAGAAAATAATGAAAGAAAATGTGGAAAAGATGACAGCTCTGCGTCGTCAGTATAATCTGTTTCATATAGTGATCATTTATTCAGTATGTGTGAGACCTTTGCTTTAAGCGTGTTTGATCATTAATAATTAATCGTTGGTGGATCATCAGAATGCTTCAGGTGTTCAGGAGGCAACGATATCGAACACGATGATGCAACTTTTTACAAGATAAGCATGAAAAGTCATGTGATGTCGTTGCAGTCCCGTCACTGGAGGATCTTGGACGATGGGTGCTGCAGAAAGTTTCCTGCAGATGGTCTATAAAAACCAGGCTACCAGCCAGGCGTTTTATAGCCAGGCTATGAAAACGGAGGCAGGCACCTGCGAGCCTAATCTGAGGGTAAAGTCCTCCTGCAGCTCTCCCCTCGCTGCCTATAGCACCTCCCACAACAACAGCATGCCCAGTATTTGAATTATTTTTGATTTCATTGAAATTAAAATCTTTTTTAAGCTCAGTAAATACGCCGGGGATGACCCGCTTCCCTGTGTGGAGGAAGTGTTTCAGGCTCTTGTTCCCACCCTCGGCCACGAGCTGTGGGTGATGACTGAAAGAGTGAGATGGTGGATACATCCTGCAGAAATGAGCTTCAGAGTAAAGCTGATGCTCCTTCGCTATGAAGAGAGCCAGTTGGGGGTTTGGGCATCTGACCAGGATGCCTCCTTGGTCAGGTGTTTCATGTCCTACTGGGAGGAGACGTCCAGACACACTGGAGAGATTGTTTCTCTGGAAAAGCTGGAGGAGGTGCTGCTGCACCCGCAGCCTGACCCTGACTAGAAAAGCAGCAGATGATGGAGCGATGCATGAAGCTACGATTATGGAACAAAATCATTCTGATCGTTTCTTCTTCTGTGATCGAGGAGCCCTGTGGGGATCCATGCACGGAGGCTGACTGCCTCCATCGGAGGTGGAGAACGAGTCACTCACGGCACTTCACAGTGACTTTATCTTTTTATTTTTAAATACTTAAGAAGATAAATCCCATTTTTACTAAAAGCTCCTTCAGATAAGTGATCTCAAGCTTCAGTTTAAATGTGCTGCTGTTTTTCCTGGGCTGGAGACGACCAGTGTGGAGACGAGAGCTCGCTAAAGCTTTTTAAACCTTTCTACACTCGGGCTCATGACAAAACTTCATGACAGGTTCTCCTCAAAGTTCGGATTATGATCCCAGTGAAGATAAAATGGTGGAAAACTGTTATTAACGGGAAGAAGGATTTTTAAGAGGTTTAGGATTTTCTTCATTCTGTTCAATTCAGCTCAGTTTTATTTACATAGAAGCCACAACATTACCTCAACAACCACATGACCCCCTGTGAGCAAGCACTTGGTGACAGTGGGAAGGAGAAACTCAAGCAGGAAGAAACCTCCAGCAGAACCAGGATCAGGGCGGTGCAGCCATCTGGGGTGAGGGGAGGAAGACAGGCGAGCCACAGATTAATGATAAATAATGATTAAATGTAGAGAGGTGTATAAACACAGAGAATGACGATCAGTGACGAAGAAACACTCAGTGCATCGTGGGAAAGCCCAGTCACTGCTGACGTCACGATTAAGACAAACGAAAGGGTTTGAGTGGTCATATCAATATTTAAGGTGTGTTCAGAGACAATTTATGATGTGAGAAAACATTCCACCTTAAGAGCTGCAGCTCGTGAACGTGTGTCATACTTAAAAGAAGAAGAAGCTGAATCTGTGCAGGGGTGATGCTCGTGGTAGATCTCATTAAAGATTCGCTCGACTCATCTCGAGTGCAGCAACACTGACGTGATAACGAGTAAATATTTGGCAGCTGGTAATAATGCAACAGTGCAGCAGTGATTAGTTGGGTCTGTCTAATCTTTATCAGCCTGATTGATCCACGAGTAAAAAGTGCAGTCAGTCGCACGCTGAAGGAAGCTCTTCCTGAGCTGGGAGGCCTGCTGACGTCCTTCAGGCTGAGATCAGAGCTCAGAGCTCGTCACACTCCTCCTATTGTGTCCGCTGACCAAAGGAACAAAGGGTGTTTTGAGGAGTGCGACCCCTTTTTAATGTGGTATGCTGTGGTTGCCTGCACTGTAATAAATCCTTCACGTGATTCTGCTCGTGCGTGTTTGTGGAAACAGCCAGCAGCTCGGTTCGTTTCTCTTAAACACACTAAAATACGGATCATTCGTGGATTGTAATCGGAGGAAGCAGAGGGGAACGTTTGCCGTAGCTGGTTTTGTTTTGACGTAAAACTCTGATCTGGCTGTAACCTTTCCTCCACAGACCTGAAACAGAGGTGCCTGACAAAGATGTGCAATAAACTGTGACCGGAGAGGAACAAAGAGCCGCTCATCAGGAACTACGGCACGCAGCACGATTACGGAGGCCAGATCTGAGTCAGATTTCTGCATCTGCACGGGTTTGGAAACTGTTTACACGCTCACACAGCGGCGCGGCTTCACATTCATCCCCGTTATCTACTCTGTGATTTCATTTACTTTGTATCTCCAAGAAGATGAAAAATAATTTGATTAATACTGGACTCTGAAATCTGCAACCCTCAGACTAAGTGTGGACTGTTTATCCTCAGATCAAATGAAGACTGTGAGGCTGATACAGTCTGAAATCTGAAGAAGAAGCTGTAGAAACCCAGAAACAGATGTAGGGTTTGAGGTTTTATGTCTGTTAAATAAACGTCTGGTAATTGTTGTATTTTTTTCTCATTGCTCGTTTTTGGATCTACGTTCAGCCTTAATTTGTTCAGATTAGTCAAAGAGGTTTGGATCGTCTGGACAGAGGAGGGAATTATTTCAGCCTGTCGGAGTCGATCCAGATCTGACTGTTCATGAGCAAAAAATGGTGAAAATGGGACATTTTTCCTGTTACTATTAGTTATCAAAAATGTATCTGATCTAATCAAGATCCTTGTGGATCGGCAGGCTTGGAGTGCGAGGCGTGATCTGAAAGAAAAACCTGGAGTGTCAGATGACAGCCACGTATCCATGAAGCCTAAAACACCCAGAACAGAGTTATTATACTTCCTCATCATTCTAGTCAGCTTCCAGAGAGGATTCAGTTTAAGTTTGATTCTTTAATTTATTTATTGAGGGTATTTGTCAGACGTCAGGTTTCAGAAGTTCAGAGTCAACATCTGCTCCACAAAAACTCAAACTGGAGACGTTTTCTCTGCATTTTATTTGATTGTAGTTCGTTTTTCAAGCACATCTTATTGTTTCAGATTTTTAAATCTTTATTTGGTTTTCCAGTTGTCTTTTTCTATAAAGATGACGTAGGTTCAGATATAACCGATTATGTGGAAAAAGTTAAACAGAATGAAATCCATCTCTAGGATATCTGTAGGACTACACGTGGAGCTCAGCGGTCGTTTTTTTAGCCTAGTTTTAGTTCACTGGAGCAGCGTCGACCCAGAACTCTGTTTAATTTTCAGAGATATTTATGAATATCGATGAAGAATCCACCGACTGTCAAACTGTTCACTCTCAGAGAATTTCACAGAGTTTTTTAGAAAACAGGAAACCAGCTGCTTTAGAGGAAAAAGAAACGATTCTCCCCCCTCTAAACAGAGCTGCTGCTGCCCCACTATCAGCCCCCTGTTATTAAACCCACGGCGGTCACGCCTCCTTCCTGCAGGTCATCATTGATCTGAACTCCAGGTGGATCAGATAAGTGCAGGTCGAACCCCAGGTCACAGAGCCAGCCCTCCTGCGGGGACAAAGACCACTCTGTGGGTCCCCCCTGTCAGGACCCCACCTGTGCTAAAGCCTGAAATACCTGCATGGAAAAAAAACCATGATAAGCTCCTGCTCAGGTATCACCTGATAGCCAATAAGAGCTGACCTGAACAGGATAAAGGTACCCCCCACCCCCCAGCCCCAGAGAGATAAACAGTTTTTGGAGCTCAGAGTTTATTCTGTTAGACAACAAGCATTAAAAAGGGTTCCTGCCCACCGAGGTGCGTCTCACTCCTGAACGTGGCACCGAGTTTAATGCTCACTGAACAAACCAGAAATCCCACAAATAAGGTAAGAGTTTCTTTGCTGTTTAAATCTGTCTTTGGTTTGGTCAGAGTGTGTGCATGTGTGCATACACAGTATGAAACAGCACCGCTATAAAGTGAGGACGTGTGAGTGTAACAGGCAAGGATAACGTTCATGTTAAGTCTTCAAAGCGCTCAACTTATCATTGCGTAGCGTTGCCTCTGATCACTGGATATGTGAGACAGCTTAAAAATCCATGGCAAAGGCAGTGCTGCAGCCCCTCTGGCCTTCAGCCTCTGACAGCTATCACAGCTAACAGAGGCTGATATTATTGAGCATTTTCACTCTGTAGTCAGAGACTAACTGATGGGTTTTTAGCTTTACACTGCACAGAATGTAAAGAGGTAATATTAGGGAAATGTTAAAGAAACTGAGAAGTTTCGTACGCTCATCATGAGCATGAATGTCATGGTGGATTGACTGTACACGAACGCTGTCCATCTAATCTGACTGAGCTGGAGCTGTTTTGCAAAGAAGAATGGGCAAAGATTTCAGTCTGTAGATGTGCAAAGCTGGTAGAGACAGACCCTAAAAGACTGGCAGCTGTAACTGCAGCAAAAGCTGGTTCTGCAAAGTATTGACTCAGGGGGCTGAATAATTACGCACACCCCACTTTGCAGTTATTTATTTGTAACAAATGTTGGGAATCATGTCTGATTTTGGTTCCACTTCTCACGTGTGCACCACTTTGTGTTGGTCTTTCACCTGGAATTCCAATAAAATTGATTCATGTTTGTGTACACTAGCTTAGCTAGCAGTGTCTAGCTAGACCCGTTACTGGTTACCAAAGTAATAAAACAGTCTACTGGATGTAGCATACAACATTACAAGTACACCGACAGTTGAAATATGGTGGCGAAATCTGGTCCAGTGATTCAAAGTAGTGTAAGTGAGGCCTAGCACACAGCTAGCAGCTGCAAGTGCCCAGTGATACCTGTCAATCAATGTGGCCACACCCCTAAACTTAAACCTTACCAGCATCCAAATAAATAGGTTGGCATAAATGTCACTCTGTATAGGTACAGGTGTTACGAAGGGTTAAACTACCCACAGAAACAGAAACTGTTTTTGAACCAGGCTGTTTATTTCTGTTCTGAACACTGGAAACACTTTTGAAGCCAGCCTCTAGTGGACATAAGAGGGACTGCAGCTTTTGGTTTTTAAATGTTGAATTTATTTAATTTAATTGGATTAAGGGAGCAGGTAGTGATCCATAAACACATGGGGAGTGATAGTGGAGCCTATTGCAGAAAAACTATAGGGGATAAATCAGGGTCAATACTATGACCTCAAATGAAAATCACGATTAATTGAACATTTTACCTTGATTTTGATGATCATAATCAATAATCAAACACACACCTTGATAGTTTACCAGGTTTGCACTGTGAATGTGATCTAAAGCTGGCACATTTGCTGCGGTGATATGACTGTAACAGATTGGTGGGATTACCTTGGGTCACTGAAACCATTTTTCACGTGATTTTCTTCTTTATGTTTGATGTTGTCTTCAGTAAAGATTAAAATTATGTCCATACAACAGAAACAGCATTTTTAACTATAATCGTCATCAAAAAGGAAAGTTCGAAGTCTATTCTTAAAAGTAGAGAGAGGGTCTGTCGCCCAAACCCACACTGGGAGCTGGTTCCACAGGTGAGGAGCATGGTAGCTTTTAGAAACGCAGGAGCGACAGGTAAGCCTGATCGGATTTGGTCTGATATGATGAGCTTGTGCACCCGACAGGAAGTTGAATATGAAAAAAAGCTTTCTCCATCTGAACGCAGGTACGAGTCATGTTCCTGATGTATATGTTTCTGCTGTCTGCTCTTCCAAACGGTGAGTCCCTCTGTAAAACTACATTATATAGGATCCATTTACTAGTTCTACACTAATAATGGATTGCATTTATATAGCACTTTTCTAGACCCTCAGAGCGCTTTACAATGCCACTATTCAGTCACTCTCACATTCACACACTGGTGGAGGCTACAGTTGTAGTCACAGCTGCCCGGGGACAGACTGACAGAAGCGAGGCTGCCATATCGCGCCATCGGCCCCTCTGGCCAACACCAGTAGGTGAAGTGTCTTGCCCAAGGACACAACGACCAAGACAGACAGAGCAGGGGATTGAACCGGCAACCTTGCAGTTACAAGATGATGGTTGCTTCCCAACCCCCTGAACCACGATCGCCCCGATATACATACATATAGTTTTACCTGCTGACTCAAAGATTATAAGGATAATTTACCAATCATTTATTAACTACTAAAGAGTCAGAAATGCCTTCAAAGCATGAATAAATCTTTGTGTCAGATTAGTGGTTGAGCAGAAACGTTATGTCTCCTTTAGTTTATTCATCTGTGTGTGCTGATGTGGAAAGATTTACCTTTGGTGTTTTAAAGGTTACATTTATGACCTTAATTGTTTTATTTATCCTTATCCAGCGCTTCCTGCCGGCTCCATCTTCTGTCCGGACCCGGAGGCATATCACATGACTGGTGAGAACAGAAGCAAACATTATGTAATAAAATGAATGGATAGATGGATAAAAATAGACAAAAACAGGACTGGAGGCAGAATGTGTATGAGAGGGGGTCAGAGGGCGTTACAAACTCTTATTGCTGTGGGGATGAAGGAGCTCCCGAAGCACTCAGATCTACAGTACAGTGAGAGGAGCCATCTGCTGCTCCTGTGCCCACCCAGGAGGCCACGGAGAGAGGGTCTACTTTAGTCCATCGCCCCCCTCTGCCACAGTTTTAAGTGAGTCCAGCCTCCTGCTGAGCACCAGGCTGGCGTTAGGCTGTTTGTGGTCATTTGTGTCATGCATTTCTTTATAAAATAGACATTGATGGTGACATGTCTGCTTTATGATCAGTCTCGTCCTCACATGTGGACCCCTGTGCTGCATCTTTAAATGAAGTATGGACTCAGGACTTTCAGTTTTTTCCAGCTGAGTTTTGCTGAGTCTTCGGTGTTACAACATGAGACTTAATTGTAGTGATAAAGGTACGGACTCGAAGCTGCGTTGTGTAAATTTCCTAAACCTTCATGGATCTACAGCAGCAGCAGTGTTCTCGACTTGGATAGCTCAAACAACAGTCGTAGACTTTCTGTGGCGTTGTGGGCTGTTGTTGACATCGAGGTCGAGAGGCTTTGATGTTCATTGCCTCCTATGGTCTTAATCTTCACTGTACCTGCATGTGGAGACCTGCAGTCCAAATAATCTTCCACCCTGTGTGCTTCTCTGGACTCGAGTTACCTGCAAACAGGATTATCTATGATTAAATCGCTCTGCTCTCCACCTCAAACTTTACAGAAGCTCTGCAGGTTCGATCTTCTCGCGGCCTCGGCGCGTTTGTTCATTCACCTTCCCTCATCTCTTCCTGCAGATTGTCTCGGGTTGCGCTTCACCTGGATACACTCGGTCTTCGATAACTTCCCCTCCATGCTGAGCTTTGTGTCGAAGCTGCACTGTGCGACGGGGATTTGCCCATGTGACCTGGAAGATTATGGCTGCTCCTGCAGATATGTGGCAGCTGGAAACCCCGTGGATGCTCTGGACGTGTAAGTAAGCCTCAGATCGCAGCGGGACTGCGGTTACAGCAGCTGCTGAATTTAAAATACGGCAAAATTGAATTCAGAGGCTGGAGGCAGGCAGGTGTGACGCGGGCTGGGAGAGTCTTCGCTGACCACCCCTCCCATTCCCATGGAAAATATTATTCATTATGCTGGAATCCCTCACAGGAGTTACAGTACAGGAAATGTCAAAATCAAGAGACAATAGCTTTAGGGTGGACTGGAATAATAAATGAAACCATGTACTTACTGTATTACATCTCTCAGGCTGAACACCTTAAAGGTCTGTCAAAGTCATCAAGAAGAGGAAAAAGCAACTCTGGGATGGTTGAAAATTTTTTGAGAGACTTTCCACTGTTTTCAACTGTTAAAGCTAACCTTTAGCTAAAGCTAACCTTTAGCAGTAGAAAGGTTAACTTTAGCTAAAACTAACCTAGAAATCTTCAGCAAGTCAAAAACTGCAGGCTAAACTAAACATTCAGTTTTAGACACTTTTTTCCTAACCTGGATCTGTATGATGCTATATGATGCTACAGAAGCCACACCCACTTGCTGGGGCAGCCAATCAGAAGAAACGTCACTTAAAAGGAAGGGTTGGACTAAAGGAGGAGGGGCTTGTTTCTGACAGAGCATTAATCGAGTCGCTGTAGTCAGGCCCAGGGTAAATAAATAAGGCTGATTATAAACTGTGAATCATGCAAAGCTGCCCTCACACAGTAAAGGAATAAAAATATGGAGATAGAAATGCATATATTGTGTCCCATTTAGGGAGGACAAAGCACTTTATTATTGTAGCTCCGCCCCTGCAACAGGGAAGGGGAGGAGCTACCAGTCAGGGAAAGGTGGATATGTTATCTACATAATAAAGTTCTGTACAAAATACTAAATTTGGTCAAATAGCTGTGAGCTCAGAGCTGAATTAATAATTGATAAATATAATTAATAAATATTATGACTTTTTCTTTTGAATGTTACATTTACAGCTGAAGTCACTTTTTTTATTCATGGGTTAAAAAATTAGCTCCTTCATCTCTGTGAAGCTAATCACTGTACTTGATAAAGAACATGTAGCCTCTGTTTCTGTGCCGTATCGTAGGAAACATGTTTATATGAAAATAATTATGACTATTTCTCAGATAAAAAAAAAAAAGGCAAAGACTTTTGTTTTAATCCCAGACTCGATTGCTTTGATGTACTTTTATAATAAGCCACTATATTCCTCTACGTATCTGCAAACACCAGCTGTAAGTGTATATGTGAAGAGCTTTTACTGTGAAAGGCACGTGCAGGAAGCACCCCTGCACTGAGCAGGTCGTGTTTCGCGTATCGATCGGACTCTCGTCATGTTATTCATCATTTCTTCTTTTTCCCGGTTTCCGTCTATAGTTGCTGCGAGGCTCACCGGCTGTGTTACCAGAACGCTGCCCCCTGCAGGCAGGAGCTGCCGCTTGCCCCGTACAACTTCAGCTGTGCGGCAGCTGCAAACACCAGCTGTGGTGAGACTTAGTTTATTTTGGGAAATGTGCTTGTTTGCTTTCACACTGGGAACCATCACAAGACTTTCGCTGCCAACAAAAAACAAGTTTTACTCACAGTGGAACCAAAGTTGATCGTTTTCACACGAGGAGTTTGTACAAAGTGAAAAGAAGCGATACAAAAGTGACTCCTCTGTATACTGACCTGCTGCTCCGACAGAGTAACACAGCAGAGTAAATAAAGACTGTGGCACTAGTACAGTGTACCAATGTGGCTCTTTCTGTCTTGAAGATGCTGCTGATTTGTGCCAGCAGAGGTTCTGTGAATGTGACCGGGCCGCCATCGACTGCATGACTCAGAGCCCGTACAACTCATCGCTGAGAGGCCTCGCCCACACGTCCTGCTCAGCTACAAATCAAACAGGTGAGACGAAGCGAAGTCGTCTCCAGAGCCAACATCTGGCTACGGTCTTTGGTTCCTTTGGATGTTTAGTCACTTCACTCATGTTTTATAAGGAACATATATATTCAGCTTCCTTCAGTGTTCCTGAAACCACTGCGTCTTTCTGTACATCTGCATTACAAGCAAGAAAATAAATCTGGCTCTCTTTATGGCACCAGTTTGGCAAAATGGGACCAAATCCATGACTCGTGCTGTGGAGGACGAGGAGGAGAGTGGATCAAAATCACTGATCAATACAGGTAATATAAAAATAACTCCAAAGACATAAATCGTGTGCAAACGGGTCTTCAGTGCAATAAAATACTGAACACACTGTGGGTGAAGCCTCAGTTTGAGTCTGTAAAAGGAGAGAAAAGAAGAATCGATGTCCTGCAAACTCACTGTGGAAACAGTTTGAGCCACTTAAAGTAAATCGAGGTACCGCAGACAGTTTTCAGTCACCAGGCGAGCAAAGAGAAACATGGATGCATCCAATTAAGTCTGGTGTTCTTTTAGCAGCAGCTCCTCTGCACACCCACACAGTTAGACCCAGACTCACAATCCGGCTGTTTGACTCGTTTCCAGCGGAGTTATTTTTACATTTAAAACCTGGTTTAGGTTTGTGTTTAACACTTTTCCTTGGACGTAACCTCAGACCTTTTTTATTATTATTATTTCAAATTTCAGACAGTTCTTTAACATCCATCAAACTTCCAGACTTGGTTTAAAATCGGCTCGATCTGAATCCTAAAACTGCAGTCGGAGATGGTCGTAACACGACGGCAGTGAAGCCGGGCTCTGTGCTTCAGTGCGCCTTCACATAAATCCTGATATGAAATGGTGAAGCCTGACTGTAAAAACAACAACTGTTGCAAGTAAAAAGAACAGTAAAATAAATATTTAAATTCTGAGTGTGCTGCTGTTTATTTGGTGGAGGTTTGCCCACAGCGGTCATGTCAGTGGGGGGATCTGTGAGTGTCACATTCCCGTGGCAGCGTGCTCGGTGTTGCTCAGATTTGAAGTTTATTTTTTCTCTGTAGAAAGAAGTTTTCTTCCCACACAGTGAACAGCGGACACTAATGTTTTTGTCACTTTTTACAGAATCAAACTCAAAGTAATGTGATTACTTCCACGCTTTAAAGGCTGCACGGTCGCACTCTCTCCTGCACTCCATGTTATCCATTGTTGATCTGCACACAGCTGTTGAGACACTCTCACAAACAAAATCACGGTTTAGTAACACAGTAACACAGCGTGCTTACAGGAAAGTAACAGTAATCTAATTACTTTTTTTGCAATAGTAATCCCTTACAGTAACGTGTTACTATCTCTGTGACATTCACGTAGGCCTTCTTGCTTTTTCTGTTTCTGATCTTTGATAAAATTAAAGGTAAGATTGTTGTTTTTTTTAATCTTGTTTACAAACTTGTTTCATTCTGGTTTTACTGGTTTTATTTGCTAAGACGTGGTTATGTGCTGGGTTTCAGAGGGTTCTTTGTTTTCAGAAACATCCAGGCTTAGTGTGGCACAGGTTCCTTTAGACTGATTTCTTCGTTTCCGACAGATTTTTAATTTGGTCTCAGAACATTTTGGAGAACTTTTCCACTCCGTCTGTGGATCTTTGGTCTCAGTGTTTCTGTCTCTTGACGTAAAGCCGGATGAATCGTTGATGCTGTGAGGAGAAAAACTTCTGCTCTCTTTGAAGATCTTTCTTCATGACTCTTGCTGTACGTTCGGCCTCGCTGTCCTTCTGAGCGAGGCTGATTTAATAAATTTTAGCAGTGAGCTCATTAGTCCTGCCTTTCTCCGGTGTGTCTGACAGAGCTCGCAGCTAACAGCGGTCTGAGTTTCTCATTAGTTTGACCGTGTGTTTCAGAGCTGCTCAGCGGCATCGAGGACACAGGTGAAGTCTTCAGAGCAGCAGGTAAGTCTGTGTGAAACTCTGAGGGCGCCGCGATCAGCGTTCCTGAGACGGTGCGTCACTTTCTGAGCGGGTCGGCGATGTCGCATCACAGGAAACGATTGATTGGGCAGAAACACAGACGGCTGAGTCACACCTCAGCCAATTAAAACAAGGACCTCTGGATGTTTAAGCTGCAGCTTCCTGCCCACATCCAGCTAAAAGAGAAAGAAACCAGTGATTGTTCAGACCTCCTTTCATCCATGTGTCCAGATAGAGATGTCACGTCGAGCCGAGCTGCTCGCCGCCTCAGAATCAGGAGAATCTGAAGTGAAGGATGTTATTAAAGCAGAAAAGTTCAGAGGGAGGTTTTTTAAACCTGAGGACGGCCTGTCACGCACGACAACCTGAGATCTGTCTGAAACTGAACCCACTCTGTTTAAACTCGAGATCAGCTCGAATTCACTTTATCTGCACGTCGAGGTCCATACGTTACACATATCTGTAAAGCAGTGCTTACATCCTTGGACTAAGTTTCTGATCACAAAGGAGATAAAAGAGAATATTGGGCTCACGTTGATCCTGCCGACACAAATCCAAACTGAGATATGAAGCATCACGTTAGCGCATTAATGTGTTTCCTTCTCTCTGCTTTGTTCGAGTGTATATTTGTGTGGAGAGGCTGAACTTCTCCTGTGTCTCTGCAGATGTTCTCCCAGCAGAAAACACCTCAGAAAGCTTTAATTTCTCCAGCTCGTCCTTCCTGCCAGCAGGTAAAACTCCTGTTTTTATGCTTCGCTTTACTTTCTACAACTCTGCACGTCTCCAGAGCAGAACAAAGTGAAATTTCAGGTTTTGGAGAGTTTTAAGATGCTTCCAGCCTTGAACTCGGAGTGCTCATAAAATGGACCTCCCTCCACTTCCTTTAAGAATTAATGGAGTGGAAACAGATTTCCTTTTCTGATGAAACAGATTTAACAATGTAGTCTGATGGTAGCTTTTACTCACTGCCATTTAAAGGTCAGACGTCTACAATCAGAAGCTCCTAATGAAGCTTGTTTTGGTCTTTAACCAAGAGGAAAACAACAATTTTGATCATGAAATCAGATCATGATCTGATGTGTGAGAACTAATCGCCTAAAAATAGCACGAACACTGTTACGAGGTTCCGTTTAGTCGCTCCGGTTAGTAAAGCGTGAAGCTTAGCAGGCAGCTACATGCACCCATCAGTCTGTCGTTCTAAGACAGACACAGAAAACATTAAGCCTTGATATTCTTGATATTCTATTTCAGTGATGGCGCCAGCCTTCGTTGCCTTTTGGTGTCCACACTTTTAAAGCCTCAGTGTGAACATTTCATTCAGTAAATAAAGAAAAATTAGACTCACACATTAAATAAAGCCAGAAAACATCTACCTGCATCCCAGACAGGTGAATGATGAATGAACTGTGACTGTCTCCTCAGCAGGGATGGACCCACCAACAACAGGCAGGGTGGATAACCAGAGTGACACCGAGGCCATGGAGTACAACCTCAGCACTCCAGCGCCGCTGATGCCTGCTGGTATGACCTCTAATTGGCCCTCGGGCCACAGGTTTAACTCGGCACCATCTGCGTGTTATCCTAATATTTCTCATTTTTCCAGAGGAGCTTGAGGAAGGTGCAGGAGGTGCAGCAGAGGTGGAAGAGGCAGAGATGACACACCTGAGTTATATCTCTAAAGGTAACGGTTACCTCGGTTACCTCACCGTCTCCCCTCCATCCTCTCTCTAGTACTTTTCTAGCAGATTACATTTGCTAGATGCTGACCGGCGGACAGCTTCCAAAGCAGCAGAAATAATTTCCCCGCTGTTCGACTCCTGCTGCTCGATGACTCACTTGGCTCAGACGTTTCCTGCTTTTACAGATCTGAATGAGAGCGCCGCAGAGGAAGCACTCGAGCAGGAAGAGATAAATGGGGATCAGATGACCCACAATCCTCCAGCAATCAGCCGGGGTGAGCCAGAAACACTCGGCGTCTCGATCACGACTGATAAATACAAACGTCCGCCTCGGGCTTAATATAAAGCAGCTCTTTTTATTTAAATGACGCGGTGTGCTTTATATGATCCCATAACTGAGCAGTGATTCATCCGGCGTCTAATTCATAAAAGATTTTCTAAATGAGGAACGTGTCCTCGTCTGTGGACAGAGGAAACTTTCTCGGGTGCAAGTTGGAGCCAGAAAAACCTTCGTTAAACTGGCTTTTTATGTGCAGAAATATTATTAATCATAATCTCACTTTGGAGTACCACAAAAGAGAAACTTGCAACTTCATCCAGTCAAACTTTAAATGGATATTAGTGTCTCTGACTTTTTGTGTGCAACAAAACTAAAGTATTTATGCAAGGTGCAGTTACAATACAGATCACTAATAATCATAAAAGCATAACTGATTAAAAGTGGCCGATTTCCCCCCTCAAGGCCACCTCCTTCCACACCTGTGGGCAGCTTCCAGCCCCACAGCCCACAGGGAGCTCTGAAACCTGATTAGACACCAGCGTCTTATTTTTCACAAGTGTGTTTGTTCCAACTGGGTCTGTGATGAAGTTACCCCACAAGCAAGTTTAAAAAGAAGTTTTTAGCTGCTTTTAAAAGAGACCACTGATTTCAAGAAAAGCCTGTGGACTGATGCAAACCCTCCTCCTGTTTTAGTTCCCAGCCTCATACGCTGTACAGCCAGTAGGCCCTGATCACATGACCTCAGGGACCTGCTGGCGTACTGTACGCTGGTGATAAATGTCGAAATCAGAATCTTAAAGTGGACTCTAAAGTTACTTTTTGTTTGAAAGGTGAGTCAAAAATTAAGATTAAATGTTCCTTTTTCAGGAAATTAAGATTCCTAAAAGAAGATTCAGCAAATGTAGCAAGAAGACACTGTTTCTGTTTTCTCTTCACAAGTGGGGGAAAATGACTGAACCCTCTATTTTAATAGCGTCTCAGCAAGATCTGCAGGTTAGAAACCTCTTGGGGTTTAAAAGAAACATAGAGCTGAACCTCATCTGCAGAGCAGTGACAAGAAATGTTCTTAAAAGTGTCAAAATGTGCAGAAGAGGGAGCAGAAACAACAGGATAGAAACTGCAAAGGCACCAAAACGGAACCTTGTGGCACACCGAAGGCAAGAGAAGTGAGACAGGACTTCAAAAATACAGACAGAGTATCTGTGATGTGATGACGTTATAATTTTATCTCTTGCAGATTCAGGTTTGCGCGTTCATGGCGAAGAGACGCCAACTGAAGCAGAATCCGAGCTGACTTCTTCACTGAGCTCCGCCACTGAAAACGCACAGGTGAATCAAACGGGAGCATCAGCGCCGCTCGGTCACATTTTACCATCGACTCCTCCCACTCCTCCTACAACTCCCAGAGAGCTGACATCAGCAGCCGTGGAAGAATCAGCCGAGACAGGTGATGAAGAAATACTTATCCTTTTATGATGTGTTGATTATTTTTATTTATCTCAAATTATAGATGATGCAAAAAGAATTAAAAGGACAGGGGTGTGGTCAAAGCAGGGGCTTAAGGTGGCACCGCCCTCACCCCCAGAGAGTTGAAGATTAGATTGTCCATATGAGAAAGTTACAATGAAGCCAAAACCAGATTGTTCCAAACATTTGTATCTTTAATTATTTCAAGAGCTTTAGTTGTTTGTCCATGACACTGCCCTCTGGTGGCGGTACACATGTACAACAGTCTGCAGAGCTCTCGTAGGCCCGGTGCACAGCCATGATGACCCCTCAAAACATGTTTATGGAGACAGGAGATTCATTCACAATGAAAAAAATCAGCCCAGCATGATGAATTTTTAACCAGCTGTCAAGTAGTTTGGTTTATTTATGTAGTTTTATTTTTCTGAATTCCTGTGACTGTGGATTGTTTGGGTATTTTTCTTTGTAGTTACTGGCTGGATTGAGATTGTTGTATTTTGCCCTTGTCTGAGTTTGTGTGAGACTCTGTCTTAGCACCAGAAGTCAAATAAAGCACTGAAATGAAGCTCTTTTGCCTCCTTATTAACAGGTTTAATCTTAGCCTCAACAACAACCACCACGAGTCCCTCTGAGTCATCTGAGGAGGAAGGAAATGGGAAAGAGGAGGAGGACAATGAAGAGGAGCAAGAGTCTGGTGAGCACTGTGAGTTCATACTGTATGACGGGAACTAAAGAATAAATCAGGCCTTTGTGAGTCCCAAAAGACTTCAGTTGGACTCATTGGGAAGTTTGAATATTCATGTTTCTTTTCTTCATCCTCAGTCTTTGATGTGCTCAAAACTACAACAATGACAACAGCAGCAACACCGTCAGCCCCAAGGAAAACTCCTCACACAGGTCAGTTTGTCACAGGGGGACAGAAATATCAGCTTTATCTATAAAGTGCCACTGCCAACAATTATCAGACTACGAGACAGACAGTCATCTATGAGCAGCATTTGACTGCAGTGGGGAGAAAGAGCTTCCTTTTAACAGGAAGTGGTACCTGTACAGCCCTCTGTGCAGTTAGGAGGAATTCAACTGTTTAAACCAAAACTGTTTATTGTATCAAGCTGTGAACATCTTTATTTCTTATTGTGAACATGCAGACTGACTCACTGTTGGAGCCTCAAGTGGCCACTAGAGGAACTGCAGTTTTTGACATTTGCTTCATTTTTAGCTGCTTCGTTCTAAACTGCATATTTTTCTGCAGCTATTCTGCAGCTTCCCTTATGAAGTTATATCAACTGTTATGTCAACATGCACGGTCTATAAAAAAATGGTACGTACAATTTTGTCATAATATTAAACTTTGACCCTCTCGCTATAAGGATGGCCAGGAAGGATATTCTGTCCTGCGTACTGCGACGTATAACAGGATGGAGTAGTACCCCCTGGTATTTGACAAACTATGACATATGTATGCTGAAAAATGAAGCCTAAGAAAAAAAAAAACAAAAGCTGCAGTTCCTCTAATGTCCACTTGAGGCAGGCTCCAAAATTGTGTCAGTCGCTGTAGACTGACATATACAGCAGAAATAAACATTAACACGCTGCTGCAGAAATGGTTTTGGTCTCTATGAATGGTTTAAACCATTGCACATGTACAGGGAAGGTGAAAGTTTACAGTTTATGCTTATCAATCGAGCTAGTTAGCTTTAGCTGTTGACATTAGCAACCACCATCATATTCAATTATGGTGACTTGTTATGAAAATCTGCAGTTTTTCAGAATGCTAACAGTGAGGCCAGAGTCCAGAAATCAGTAAGCCATGTCACAGTGGCTGCTTCCATCTTTTAAATACAGTTTGTCTTTTCATGTAACAAAATGAGTCTGTGCGACTCCTTTGTGGGTTTTTAAGTTGTACAACACAGAGGAGTAAGGTGTGACTCTAATCGACGCAGGCACTTCACCGGGAGTCTTTGTCCTTCAAATAAAAGAGACGTGATTCGGATTTAGACTCTTTCCTCGCCGCTGCTTCGCAAACACACCGAGAGCTGCCAAATGGTTTGATCGAGTGTCACAACCCCGCTGCCGGGTAAAAAACATGTAACTATTGAAGTGGTTATTTTCCTCTCCTCGCGTCTGCAATTACGCAGCGAGGCTTTGACAGGTGTCTGAGGGGCCTCGCTCGCTCAGAAATCACCGGGTATATTTTTAATTTCAAGAAGAAAAAGAAAAAAGACCAGTTCCAGCTCTTTCTTTAATGCCGGCGTTAATCAAGTGGATTGCATTAACGTCTCACTTCTGACAGCCTTTGTGTTGTGCGCTCTTCAGAAGGTGGAGGAGGTGTCAGCTTCACATTAACACCAGCACCACCTCCAGCTTCACAGGAGAGAGGGGAGGGAGGTGTCAGAGAGGAGACGAGCTCTCCGAGGCCCGCTGAAGGTCAGCTTGTTTTTCTTTAGCAACAAGCAGGCATTTCATTACAGAAACTTTCGGAGGAGGAAAAATCTGACCTTAATGTACAGCGAAACGTTCAAGGATGTTTGCTCTTTGGCTTTCTAGCAGAGGGCTGGATGAGCTGACCGATATCAGGCAGCTGCAGATAGGAAAGGGCTACGTGCTCTACAGAGCTACCGATTTTCTCAGTTTGGCTGTTTCCACGTTTCTAGTCCTCATTCCTGGTGAAACTTCCCCAGTTTCCAGCAATTTTTCTCAAACATCAGCCTCCTACTAACAAACATGTACATTCTTTACAATTTCAGGAGAACTAGTGAGATGGGAAACAGCCAGTGTGGTTTAGTCGAGGTGCAATTTGTGGGGAAAAGAATCAGCGTGGAGGGTTTTCATGTTTTAGAGACATTTGTGGGCCTGTAGACTTTGAAGCCTGGTGTCTTATTACTGCTGCCACTGTAACATTTACAGAATAATTCAACTTCAACCTGACAAAGTAAATGTAAAGGCACTTTTTAGGTATTTTAAAAACTACAAGAAGCGAACAGAATATAAAAAAACCCCAAACAGCAGGACTTTATGTCCAAAACGTTTGTGTCCTTCGTTAAAGAGATGTCAGCTGAAGCTGAACTAAAGCTGGGCTGTACATTAGTGTAATACCAGTGTGAACCACAAGATGGTGCAAAGTGTCTGGTGAAGACAGAGGCAGGGATAAAAACATTAGTGCATGCACAAAAACACATCTAATCATCTTTAAAATGCTGCCCTCTGGTGGTGAAAGGTTTACCTTCAACAGAAGATCATTAAAATAAGCGACACTGATGATTGCATTTGCAAAAATATTTAAGTTTTGGTACAAAAGTTTGTCCTTTGCTCGTGCAGACAAACATAAACGATGTTATTTTAACATGCCAGAAGTGCTCGGTCCAACCGCAGGTGAACTTTAATATCAGAGACAAATATTCACAATGTAACAACACAGCAAGCTGTCAGCATACACATCAGTGTATATCACAGCGAGCAGTGCGAGCTCCCTGCAGCTTCCCAAAAAATCCTCCTTTTATTAGACTGAAAGTGAACACAGCAATTATTGAGATGGCAGCAGAGGCCAGCTGACCCCGTCACCAGCATATTCACCCACAGCCTTTAAAGCGACTCATTGAAGGAAAAAAAGCTCCTGCTCCCCCCCACAGTGTACTCTTTGTTGTTCAGCTATTTTCTCCCCTGAATCTTTTTCCACAGAGTCAGAAAGTGCAGAGCTGGATCACCTACTGAGCGACAGACTTTCTGGCTTTTAATGTGTATAAAGCTGTCATCTAGTTTAATATTGTAAGGTACAGACCTGAAAATATCATGGAAACAAACCTGATAACTCAACAATGAGCAGCACTTGGTGACAAAAATAAAAAAGTCTGTGGCAGAACGAGGCACAGATCAGATCACTGAGTACAGAGAACATAAAAGCTGTAATTACTAAAATTATTCACCGTTTTGTCAACTTTGCCCCAAAACAAAGTTCAAAATCAGTGTTTCCTGCATGTTTCACAACATTACGGCTTCATTAATCACGCTGCTTCATGTTACAGGCTGAATAACCAAAAACAAAGTCAAAGCTACATTTTTACTACAATAACAAACACACCTTCGTGCACACGTGTCAGCGCCACAGCGTGGTTGGTTTCTTATTTCAGCTGCTGTCCAGGTCCAGGTGATCTCTCTCCTCAGTAAGAGAACAAAGCATTACAGTAAGCCGGTGGGTGATGATGGGAAATAAAAAAACATTCTGAGCATCCTCGTGGTCGCTCTGCTCACCTGACCGGCTCAGTCGCAGAATTTCATGTGAAGGCTCAGACATCAGCCTCTGCTGGAGTTTGAAGCAGGAGTCGATGTTCGCTCTCTCCAAGTTTATTGTAAGTGGTCAGGAGGGCTGATTAGGGAGGGACTCCTCACTCTGACCTGCTTCCCAGGCCCACAGATCACAACCAGAGTCACAACACAGGCCTCAACCAGCAGCTCGCTCCCACAAACCAAACCAGCGAGAACCACCACCCCTCCTGACGACTCATCAGAGGAAGATGCCACACCTCCTCTTCCTCTTCCTCCTGCTGCTGCTTTCAGTCTTCAGAGTCAAGGTGAGAAAGGCCCAGCTCGCCCCGCCCCGATGGGGATGAATTAGCATTTAAGCCGACCTGTGGGTGTGAGAATTTAATGACATGTTTGCACCGTCTTTGAAATTTGCATCTGTGCCATGAAATGTCAGGATCACTTCAATCTGCAGGAGTCTGCTTGAGCCGGCTCATCAGAGATGTGTGAGGAATATTTAAATGAAGCGAGGGGAGCCACAAAGCCTCCGGGGTGATCTTCACAGCACGTTTTCTCACATTTCTTTTTGTTCTGTTGCATTTCAACACAAAAATAGTTTTTGTTTGTTTTTAGATTTACAGTTTTGAAAGTTGTGCTTTCATCCCAGAACAGCGTGCGGTCCACTGAAGAAGACTTCCAAGTTTCCCATTAAAGACGGATTCTGTGGTGGATTCAGACTGACAGCTTCCAGTTTAGCTAGGAGTGTTTAACTTTATCCATCAGGGTAACTGCCAGTCAAAGTTTAGACTTATTTATTCTAAAGTAAGCCCTCGCCTTTAACCTCTTAGGCTCATTTACTGGACTCTACATTTTCTGTTTCTTTAAAAAAAACAAAAAAAAAAACAACCCTTTGCGTTACATTACAAACTGTGACACCATGGGTGCAGTGGGTAGCTGGATTGCTGACTTTACAGGAGGGATCTAAGGCTTGTTTGAGTAATTCAGATTCCTACTGCCACCCACTACAGGAGATGGACTTCAGTTTGTGTGGCTTTAAACATTTATAGTTTTATTTATACAATCTGATATACGAGATCAGAAAGTGAAAAACCTCAGCAGTCTGTGTTCTGTTTACCATCTTCTCAGTGAGACCAGGGCAATGCAAGTTTCACCGTACGCCATTAAATCATTTTCCAGGGTAAAACTGATGACCTGAACTGGTGACTGGTGCCAACTTTGTCCTCCTCCCCCAAATACAAAAAACAATAGAAGGATTTTCGATTCAATTCAATGTCATTTATATAGTGCCAAATCACAACAGTCACCCCAAGGCCAAGCACTTTGGCGACAGTGGGAAGGAAAAACTCCCTTTTAACAGGAAGAAACCTCGGCCAGAACCAGGGTCAGGGAGGGGCGGGGCCATCTGCTGCAGGTGAGAGAAGGATGAGCTTTTTGACAGACTGGAGTAGTTTCAGCATTTTCAAAGAGGTACGAGTAAAAAGAATGTAACAGGACGTCTGTGGAGAGATCTAAAGACAGCCACCACAGACCAGAGGTGCACGAGGAGATGACCCTGAATGTGAGATCGACCAAATCAGGCCTGGTAGCAGAGTGGAATCATGGGAATGTGACAGTAGCTTCCTGTACAGCAGCAGCATTACATGTGCATGCAGTGGCACCGTGTGGAGCTGAAACCTGTGACTGTTCGAATGCGAGGGCAGACTTTTAATCACGTTCTCACAGTGAGGGGCCGTGCTCCTCAAAGTCTCAGTGAGTCAACCTGCACGATGGGATTCCTGCAGAAAGCTGACAGCTACCGTTCTGTCGTTTCAGGTGAAACGCTCCCAACATCTGCATCAACCACATCATCAGCGGCTACAGTGAGAACCATCGCAGAGACGACACAGAGGAGACCGGCCACCTCCGTCACACCGCGGTGGGAGGTCCACACCCGAAGCACAACAGCAGCGGTTTTAAAACCTCCGCCACACTCCACCGCCGAGGCTGGATCCGAGGAAAAGACCGGAACAATGACGGTCAAACCTCAGAGTGTGGAAGGAGGAGAGGAGGACGACTCGCGGGAGAAAGACTCGGACGGTAACGTCTGACCAGACGCTGGTTAAACTTCATAAAATGCAACATTTTCCCCATCAGGAGGCCTTCTGCCTTTCTCCTGTCTGACCTCTTCGTTCTTCTCTGACTCGACAGGTTAAATGAAAATTCAGATGAAATGAATAAATTAAGCATTTTTCTCTCAGGGGTTCAATAAAGTTAATTATGTTTCAAAGGGTTATGGAAGTTAAATTAAGTAATCTGTGACCTGTAATGACAGCCAGGCTCATAACTGACAGGAACAATAAATGTTATTTTAATAATATCGAGGTCTAAGCTGCGAAATAGGAAGAGAAAGATCCCCAAAGGAGCAAACACACGAACACACAGCAAACGTCTAAGTGCTGATGGGGTTGAGAATGAGGCTTTTTTAGATTACACTTGCTGAAACACTGGTTTCTTAAGCTCAGAGGTATAAAACAGGAAAAACACTGTTTTTAACTCTGTGGAAAAGACATGTTAACAGACTGCTGTGCAGAAGCTGTTCAATAAATGTAGAAGAATAGTCACAATAAAACGGAAAATTAAAACCGAAACTCCCAACTTTGAATCTAATATTTGAGATTTTAAGTACAAAAACGCAGAAATGGGCAGCGTTTTACAAGCAGGTGTGTCGTTACTCTGCTGATATTTCTTATTAGCGCTATACGCTCATTTCCTTTTACCAGGACGCCATCAAAGAAGAGTGTTTGTAAATGACTGCAGGGTTAAACTAAAGACAATATAAAACATGGACGTAGCTCCAGGTCAGAAAAATTAAGCAGAGGCAAAAGTTCATTCATAGCCTTTCCTTTTTTTGTTTTCTTTAGGTCACGAGCAGTTGTCCAAGCATTTCACTACATATCGTACTGTGTATGACTGTGTACGTGACAAATAAAATTTGAATTTGAAAGTACCTTAAACCTGCATCTATGTGGAGGCCACCAGATGGCGACGGTGTAGCTGCACGTCACTCATTCTGGGTCATGTTTTTGCAAATAAATTTAGTAAATCTCGGTTGCATTAAAAAAAAAAAAAAAGGAGGATTAGCTGTAGTGTCAAACTGCATTTTCATTGGCACAAGTCATTAGCCAATGAGCATTCGGTTCAACTGGCAGACCCGCTGCTCCTCAACAAGATGGTGCGAACGCTTAACTTGAGTCTCCGAAACAATCGGGTGATGTTACCATAGCTACGTCCCTGTTTTATAGTGTCAGTGGGACACGTGGACTCACTGCGCCATCTTATGGTAAAAACTGGTATTGCACAAATGTACAGCTCCGTTCTAGCTCAGCTCGAGTTGCTCACTCTTCAAACAGCAGATATTTTCATCAGATGACAGTTTGGTGGAGCCGTTTCAAGCCAATTTCCTCCAGAACCTTTAGTGCCAGGTCCTGCAGCCCTGTACATGTGGCTTTTTAAAAAAATCACATCAGTGGATCCATGCCAGGCGATGGGAACACCTTTTTATACTGTGAAGTCTTTAATTCTTGCAGATGTCTTTAAGGCCCTCCAAACAAGATGATTAGGAGTGTAGTAGCACCTAGAGACGATTGAGTATCAATAAAGTTTAGTGATTTGTAAACTGGCAAAATTACAACAAAGTAGATGAACGATTGAGGATCCTGCTGGCTGACTTGTGAGGGGATGGTAACGCATTGGGTGGAACTTCATCCATTACGGACCAACCATTAGCTACAACGCTTTAAATGTGGAACAGTGCTCCTCACCTGATCATCAAACCGGGAGTTGCGTTTGAAATTTATTTCTGTATTTTTTCACTGCACTTAAGTTCCACAGATCCATGTAAATGTCAACCATCTTTGACTCTGTACTCGTGCAGTGCTTCTTCATCCTCTTCTGAAGCTCGCGGCCGCTGCTTGGAGGTCACGCTTTTTTAAATGTGCCGTTTCTCTGTTGGCAGACTGGTTCGCTCCTCAGAGGAGGGCGGTGCCGTTCTTCGCCTGGTCCCTGCTGGAATCTGTTGGGCTGACTGACATAGACCTGCAGCCAGACACCAAAGGTAACCACGGATAGCTGCACTTCCAAAGTGAGTGGAGCTCTTCACTGATGGCTGAGCTGAGATCTTTGCGTCCTCCCAGCAGAATGCAGTCGCTCCTTCAGCGTGTACGCCAGCGACGGTCAGTCCAGGCGGGAGATGCCGGCGCTGGGGGAGATGCTCCACTGCCTGACGGGACGCTGCCCACACGAGTACGAGATGTACGGCTGCTACTGTGGACAGGAGGGCGGCGGTCAGCCTCTGGATCAGCTGGACAGGTGAGCTGTGTTGAGGAATAAGAATTGGGACTGTCCATGAAGACGCCGACAGCTGCGTCAGGGTTACCTGATTCTCCTTAACAGTGCGATAGTTATCAGCGCACAAACACATCTGCTGCTTTTCACATCCTTCATACTTTCATGGTGTTATGGTCTAAAGTTTAAGTGTGTGAGTGCTGCAGAGACCCTGATGACTGACTCCTGCTGGTCTCCATCAGGTGCTGCTTCTTCCATCATTGCTGCCTGAAGCAGATCAGCTCGATGGGCTGCAGGCCGGAGAGGAAGCTCAACGCTCAGATCTCCTGTGAGAACGCGAAACCACGATGTGAGTACGACAAATCCCTCGAAACCAAAGTCTGCTGCACTGCTGACATCAGATCAGTTTCACACCTGATTCTCATATTAATGTAAATATTTAACCTGCAGCTGCCACAGAGGAAGAAAAAACACGGTTCACCTAAATCTCGTGAGAAACGATTTCCACTGTAGGGAGGTTCTCTGGTCTTCCTGCAGATTCATGTTTTCTGAAAAGCTCGTGTTTTTTGTTTATGAAACGTTATACTGAGCTTCTGTTGGTGTATCCAACATTTAGCTATAATTAATTTCTTTGCTATCAGATAAGACGGGTATTACCAAATCCCTGGAGAGCCATGAGTTATTTTCCCCTCCAGTATAAATTAGAGCTGATGGGACCTGATGATGTGTGTAGTCAGCTCGGCTTCCTGTCTGGCATCTTGAGCGTTGTTACCAGACGTGAAGGGAGGAGCGAGGTGGTAGCTCTCCTTGCTTCCAGGGTAATGGTCAGCTGTCATAAGGTTGCTGTGCTTTCAGGTACAGCAGCCTTATGACAGCCTGGATTTGCAGTATGATGTTGTTGTTATTTAAAAAAAGCGCATCATCATATTCGACTTCCTAGACCTCTAAAGCGCTTGTTGGCCTCTCCATCTGATCCCTCCTCACTCTGCTCAGGTCAGGGGGTCACTGTGTGCGACAAACTACAGTGTGTATGCGACAAAACCACAGCAGAGTGCATGGCGGCTGCACACTTTAACCACAGCCTGCCGGCGCCGCAGTGCCACGGGTCGACGCCCCCCTGCCGCCGAGCCAGCAGACCCCCCAAACCTCTGAGGGTCTCCCCCCAGTCCAGCGAGGAGTCGGACATGGAGGTCGGGGACGCCAGCAGTGAGGAGGACACGGCTGCGAACACACCTCCACCTCTGCAACCTCCTCACAGGTGAGCTTTTGATTTACAGCAGGAAAAGCAGGTAAACGTGTGCGAAGGTGATGATTCAAACAACTACGAAGATGACAAATGAACAACATTTGGAATAAAGATTTATTGAATATTTCCATGTAATCGAATGGAGCTTCAACAAACACCGACACAAAGTTCGTCCCGTCAGTGCCGTGCTGATTATCAGATCCTTTGATCTTTCAGCTGCTACTTTGTTTCCACTTTTACATCATTTAAAAACAGATTTGCAGACGCTAACGTCAGAAAGCCACAAAATGAAGATCTCACTGTTTTTCTTAATAAAGAAAATCATATAGATAATTTTAATTTTTTTTTTTCATGCAGTAAGGTCCTAATTTTATATTCTAATATCACAACACAAACAACATGAAATTAAAAACAAATCTCTCTCCGCAGCCATGACAGCTCCCACCTGAAGGACGCCGACAAGTCGACTCCTTCTGCTGGATCACCCGGAGGCCTGACACATCCTCCTCCTCTCTCTCCCCCTCCTTCTCCTGCTGCCTCCAGTGAGGAGAGCGGGGAGCGACCGACACTCAGCGGGGTTCAAACCCAGAACCCGAGGCCGAGTGCAGGGCAGGGCCAGGGGCAGCAACCGGGAGACAGAGAGGAGGAGGAGGAGGAACAAGAGGGTGGAGAGGAGGAGGAGAAAGATGGAAAAGAAGAAGAGGAAGAGGAGGAAACGGAGAAAGAGGAGGAGGAGGAAAAATAGAAGCTAAAGAGTTCCTTCTCTGTGACAGTCGTGATGTGAAGTCATTTTGGGGCCTTGCTGTGTCACAAGCTGGACTCAACGTTTTCTGACATCTTTGATTCAAAAAAGAAGAAAATCAGTTTATTTACTTTGATTTTTTTTAAACACATGAAATGAATCTGTTGAATAAATGACGGCAAACACGCCTCTCTGGGATCTTCCTCTGATTGGTTCAGAGAGCCGACAGTAATAAAGACACGACGACTCAACAGCTTTGATAGAAACACTTTAATCTCAATGCACATTTTTCTATTTCAATAGAGGCTTTGTAATGAAGCGCTGAGGCTCTGCTGCTGCCGAGCTTCACAGAAACAATGTGCACTGAACGCTTTGTGATTTTGTTCAGTCGATGAATCAAAATGGAAAATAAAACATGAAACTACTTCCAGCTTCTTACGTTTCCTGCTTTTCTCTGTTCCACGTGATTGGGAACTGAGATTCGGATGTTTCAGGAAGTCCCTTTGAATTTCTAAGACCAAATTAATCAAACGTGACAAGATAATCTAAACTCACATACTTCCTGACTCACTGGAGCTTTGTGCAAACAGCAAATCCAGGTTTGGGAAAAGTGCAGTTCCTCTTATGTCCACTTGAGGCTCCAGAAGCAGCTGAGGTCACGTAGCTGTAGTTTTGTCATTGAGATGAAAAGTTGAAAGAAATGCACCAAAAGAACAATGAAGGTGAACGCGTGAAGCAGCAGCGGGAGCCTCAGCACCATCTAGTGGTTAAAACCATCAGTGTGATTGAAACAAAGCCGAGCTATAGCAAGTTTGTCACTGTGAACACGGACGCGACGCCTTTAATCTCTAAAACTGGCACAAAAATACATCAGAAACATAAAAAAGAACATCGGAAGCTTTTTTTTTTTGTTCTTGACATTTTACAGCTGGAAAAAAATCCATCTTGAAAGGTGAAGAGTTCACGTGAATATTCTGCTCTCTTCTTTTGTCTTAGTTTTAGGACTCAGATCACCAATCAGGAGGGAAACTTTTCACAGCTCCACAGAGATCATTTCATCAAAAATACTTCTAAGATCTGTTTGTACCAAACACACATCGGTGCCGATTTATTTCTGCTATAGTACCAGGTACACAGTGATCAAAGTGCAAACACAACATCATATTTTACCGTAACGGTTATTAACTGTTCAGCATTTTTACTTTAAAGTTCATTAATACATCAGCTGGTACTATTTGAATGATTGCTTGAGCTGAATCGGTTGAACATTTATCAAAAGTAGCAGAGCGGCTCGTTCGCAGACCGACTGCTCCGACATCATTTACAGACTTCACATCAGCCGGTCTTAAACGTTTCGGCTCAGAAACACAGACTCGGATCCAGATTCACAAAACCCGTCTGAAGGTGAGCTCCTCCCACAAACACGATCGTTTAGTTATGTCCTGTAACGTCTTCATGGAGGTTTAGACGGCTTTACTGATACCGCTACCGATGAACGTGTATACGAAAAAACAAACTTCCAATCAGATCCGTGAGCGTTTAATTCCAGTGAACATCGGATTTGACTGAGATACGAGTTTTAAACTAATCTGTGGAAATGCTGGTGCCGTTGAATCAAAATTAAAAGTCGGAATTAATGTCAAGCGCTTGGCTACGATCCCTTGTAGCCGTTATTTCCTTTCAATAAGTTTAGCATTAATTCAGACACGACGCCGAGCTCCTGAACTGGTCCACTGAACCAGCCTACAGGCTGAAGCAGCATCTGCAAGCCGCTTTGCAACCCCCACCCATCTTTTCGTGCTTCTTCTGACTAAATCTGGGAAAAGCAGAGGACTTTTTTCCCAGTATAATTCTTGTAGGACATTCATCCGACCTCTGGCAAATTGAAGGTGGAATTGGGACAACCGGGCATCTTGATTAACAGAAAAACCAACGTTTGAGGCTTATGCAGATTACAGGAGTTTTCCAGGAGAAGAACACCAAGAGATGGTCTTCAAACGTAGGAGGAACTTGTAAGCATAGTCAGGAACGAGGTCACATATGGGAATACAGTTTTCCGACTATTGTGGACCCAATTTTAAATGATTTTAGTGAATCTGGAGCCGATTCTTCAACCGGGACCATCTGAGTGTTTCAGGTCTGAAGGTTGAGCCTGAGCCGCCACTTAGAGAAAAATAAATCTGGATCTTAACATTAGCAGATTGCACTGATTTACTCCTTTATCCAAAAATAACCAACATCTGGCTCTACATATAATATTCATTCATTTTTCATTATTTTTGAAATGGTATAATAGAATCTACAGTTGAAAAAATAAAAACGAGACCATCTCCCCCACACTGCAACATCCCGCTGAAACCTGAACCATCGAGGTAAACAACAAAAAACTACAGGAGTATAAAGAATTCAGCATTTTGTCCTCGTCTTAGAAGAAATCTCCCAACCTCTAAAATCTCTGCTAGGCAACAATGTAATGATACGTGATGCATAAAATGTACAAAAATATATGATATATATGTATATATATGCTGCTGCGACGACACATTCATGAGAGGAAGAGATCATGTATTCCAGCCACATCTAAACCCGACTTTTCTCTAAAGCCCAACTTCAGTATCTGGCCGTTAAAGAGCTCGTTTAGATTTTGTTTCAGCATTTGATCCCAGTCCCGTCCCTCGGAGGGTCAACGACGATGACTGAAGTTAAAGAGCCATGCAGTTAGTTCATATAATGCATGTTTTTTAAAAGCTATGATTCTACGATGTTAAAGCACGAGAGTTTAAAGCTAAGACATTATGTTGCGTAGATTTGCACAGAAAAAAAACCAAGAAAAACAGCAGGAGACTTTTCTCTTGTTCAGGCTGCTCTGCTCATCGTTCCCAGTAAAAAGTCCTCTGTAACCTACGTTTCACACAGTACAATGATTAGACATGTAATACTTATAGAACAGAAGATTTCACCTCCAAACAGCCACTGGATTATATCCGGTTAGGGTTTGGTTAAAGACCTTAAGACCTTTCAATTTCTCAAAAATGTGCCTTTTTGGCATTTGGCTACAACAAAACCCTGACCGGGTCGCTGGTGCCCGATGGATGTTAAGAGGTCAAACCCACCCTGTTGCTGGTTATCGATACATAAGTGGCAATCGGAGAAGATGAACGGTCAGCAACCGTGAAGGTAAAGGAAAGTAAAGTGGGACTGCTTTGATGTGCAAGGTAAGGGTCACGTTTATCACCTTGATGCTGGTCGTGAACTTTTAAAAGCCTGTAATAAGTTTGTACCCAGACACACAATCCAACCATCAGTGCATCGCTTTGTTGCCCATGGTGACAGCTGGTTACTTGTGGCTATCAGGTTCCCTAGGCAACCACCTAGGTAACATTGTTTGACATCATGTGCCAATCAGCTTCTTTTCTCCACCTCCACCAGCAGTCGAAATTCTATAATAAGTTGCTCTAACTTTTAAAGTTAGTCTGTTTGGCACACCCGAATGTTAAAGTGGACACTACCCCAGACCTGGGTCGCTGACCATGTTTAAAAAAACAAGAAAGTACCCGAGCACACCTGAGAAGCTTTAAAATTCCATCTGCAGAAGAAGAACTGATGGGAAATCAATTGAAATCTTAAATTCTTGTTTTTGTTGTAGCTTTGCTGGCTCCACAGAGGAAGTGGAGTATAGAGTAATTCACCATAACGACGGGATCACAACGCAACGTTCTGCAATATTCAATACAAAAAAGTTACAATATAAGCAAAGAAGAAAAAGAATACCTAAAAATTTGGCATCAGTATTTATGTCGACTTTCCGTGAGCAGCCAACGTTTCAACTCTGAATTTCTTCTGCTTCATGTCCTGCAGCTTTCGTGACCCTGGCCTTGCACATTAAAGCATCCACGTCCAAACAGCTGCACGGGCTCAACTGTACAGATGTGACGCTGCGATGTGATCGGGACAGTCGCACCAAACCTGCACTTGTCACGTATCCAGATCAAACATTCACAAACTGCTTGGCCTCGACCGACCCGATGCTGAAAAACACACATTTACTAACAAAGTTTCTCAGATTTGTGAGGCTCGTGTTGGTGATGCCAAACACAGACTTCCAGCTTAGCCAGCATCTCTCATTCAGAAACACAACCAGCGCTCGAGAAACTCATTTCTCCTTCGCCGACGAGCCGAACACACCAATCAGCTCTGAGTGAAAGGAAGCGCCGACCTTCAGCCTCCAACAGCTGCTCGCACCAAACAGAGGCAGCAGGTATCTTCCTCCAACTGGAGGGATTTTCTTCCCACGCTGAGCTCAGATCAGAGGAAAACACTGATAACCATCTGCTATTACAGATCACAGCTGCAGCTGCACCACATACGAATCCTCTCGTTCCCAGAGCGCCTCCTGTAACCTGTTTTGGAAATAAACCACGGCCCTGTGATAACTGTTGAAAATGCAAGGATGATTAAATCCTCCAAAATGTCAGTGCTTTGTATCGCCGGGGCTGAGGATGGATATTAATATTAATGCGTCCAGCGGGGAGGTTAACTTTGATGCTGCCGGTCGCTTCGTTTTGGAATGAAAAGCTCCACCATATGGCTCCTCACGGGATACGAACAACAGCCTTTTTAGATTGAGACGTTTTAAAATCAAACTTCTGTGTTTGGCAATGAAACAGCTTTGTTTTTTGTTTTTTTTAAGGCTGCCAACAAAGCTGTGAGGCGGCTGATTCGTTCATGGAAAGCAGGCGTGCGCAGGGACTACAGCGCAAAGTCAAGGAGCTGGATCAGATTCATCTGCAGCCAACACGCTGCCTGCAGCTCCCCCTCATATCAGGAAATATTACAAACAAAGAGCGCGTAGCTTTAATTTTACTTACACACAGGCCTGTAACTGTGATCATAACTGCACTGTTTCATACTTGAGGAATAAACTTCAACTCTTTAAAAGATGCTACATTTGTATTTTTTTGTGATATTTTCACTGCAATCTCTGAGAATATTAACCCCAAATTTTTAATAGAGGAAGTTTAGAGTCCTTTCTAAAATCATCAGCCCCGCCACAAGAACTCTACACAAACTTTACAACAACTTCTCTAAGGACCATCGTCAAAGCCACAGACTGTATATTAAAGATGGATGTAGCTTCCGTATCTGAAAGGTTTGAACTCTTTGACAATAAGACCCAACGGCCTTCTTGCGTTTAGACGTCAGTAAACACTGAGCTCAGATTGTAGTTTCATTTTATAAATCACGTCCTCATTACTGTAACATTAAGCTGCCAATATGGAAGCACCAAAGACTGCAGTTCCTTTCACGGCCACCTGAGGGCGACTCCAGCAGTGAGACAGTCCTCAAACTCTCGTGTTGAAGCTTTCAGCAGAAATAAACATGACTACATCCTAAAAAAATGTTTTTTTGATAATTCATCTGGATACAGGAGACATGGTTGCTCTGATCATGTGACTACATTATGACATCATCGAAAACCTCAACACTGAGGCTCCAAATGTGGAGCTCAAAACCAGACACTGATGTCTCGGTGGCTCTATCCATCTTTTTTATACAGTCTCTATTGATTTTGTCCACCTGTGGCTACTGTACTAGTAGTACTAGTAGTACTAGTGGAGTATACAGTCTTAGTTCCACCATTTGGTAATCCAATGTCAAAGCTCCCCACTAAATTGACACCACACTGACTATGTCCATCTTTTATAGAGTCTCAGGTGGGAGCTGATGGACATGAACACTCCTCTTGACCTTCCTCTTACAGACTCACGCCTCTCAGAAACAATCACGTCATCACCAAACACGAGCGAGCCCATTTCTACTCGTCCAAACGTCGACTCTTCAGCTTTTGAGTGTCGCTGCCAAGCAGTTCGAGTATTGCTGTCATTGAATTTACTTATAAGAACTCAGCTGGTTGTTGGAGTCATTTGTGACACACTTTTATCTTAAACAGCAAAGACTGAAGATTAGAGCGAAGAGCTGAGGAGCAGCGAGCCTGAAACTAAACTGCTTTCTACCACCACCTATGTAATTTCAGTTTTCATAGCTGACGGCTAATATAGATATATATATATATATATGTATATTGCACATTCCTACTAATCAGTGACGGCACCGACGGCTACTGACAGGAGACAGATAGTTGTTAGGAGGCAGGAGCTGCGTTTGTGAGCCTCACGCTGCTTTTTTAAGAGCGTATGTACAAGGAGTGAAGCTTTGGCTGGACTGGAACAGAGAAGCAACGTCTGAGAAATACACTAAAACCTCAGAGTGGAAGCAGTTTATGGGTTTTGTTGTTGTTTTTTGTTCTTGGTGACTCAAAAGTTCAGTTTGGCTTCAGGGACGCGAGTCAGGAAACAAAGTGTAACCAATCAGAGCAGCGTGGATTAACGCAGGTTTGAGTGAAGACGGCAAACAGGATTTAAACTTCGTCCCTGACGGCATCCCGGCCACCTGAACAGAGGAGACTGGAGTGCAGATGTGAGTGTGTTGTTCTTTCTGTGCATTTTCAATGTTGCGTGTGAGCTGGTTTGTGGATGTGTGCGTTCAGTAGACACACAGGTCTGGAAACTTCATCTCGTAGACGGGGACGGACTGATGCTGGGTGTGTCCCGCTGAGATGGAAACCACTCCGGACGGGCTGGGAGGAGGCCTGGTGACGGGGCGTGAAACAAGATATTAAATTAGAAGGAAAAACTGGTTTTGGTTTGGCAGACGTGCACAAATGTAACCTTTAGGAAGCAAAAACCACCTGATTAACCTGATTATTAGGCTGTTGTCCCTTTCAAAGTGTCTCCGTGTGCACCTGTGCACTGCCTCCAGCGCTCCGACAGTCCTGCCCACACGTACGTGCACGTCTCAGCTAACGCACACAGCCGGGTCTAATCACGCTCACAGTGCTGTGACTCAGGAGAACTACACAGCAGGTAATGACTGAAGGAGCATTTCATTTCCTCTAAAAAATCCTTTCAAAAGGCGGCCAGGGAACGACCCGCAACTCAAAGAAAACTCAAACTGAACGCGGTGTTAGCGATGTAAGCATGACTATGAGGAAAAGTGCACGTTATTTGCAGGCGTCGTACTCGTTCACGTGCTGCAAACAGACTGTTATTGTGTTCACGTGATGATGCAATCAAAAAAAGAAGTGAGAACATGTCAGACGAACACAGCTAAGCCTAAAAACACTGGGTCGTGTTTTATCATGAGCCACATTCGCTCCAAATATCTCGACACACCTGAAGCCTGGTGCAGATCGGGTGAACCTGCGGCTGGGCTCAGGCAGCCACATCTGAGCCAAAATAACCAAACATCTGTTTGTTGAGGAGAAGACTGTGGTGACGGCGGGTGATTGAGGCTTCAGGGCGTCACAGCCACGGTGGTGAAATCACAGACGCAGCTTTAGCAGTGAGGACAGAACGTGACGGGACGCTGGCAGCAGAGCCGAGGGGACGAGCTCGACGGGAGATCAGCCAGAGATCAGTCGGGTGTTCTGGGTTTCTTTGACTTTTAGTGTCACGCCTAAGCTTTTCTAATGTGGTGTAAATGTCACCACACCAAGACCTTTTATCTAAATTCATATATTTAAATGAGAAAACTTGTTGCATAACGGACTCACCTGATTGTGAGTTCAAAGATTTGTGCGAGCCGGTCGTGCAGCATGTTTGCCTGGAAGAAGTGAGCAGGAGTTTATTTGGGTGTTTTTTCTGATGCGCTGACAGTTTATTATTTTCTGATTTCTGGCTCTTTTTTGTTTTGTTTTTTAATAACCTTGGATTCGCAGTGGGCGGCGATCTCCTCGAATGGCGCTTTCTGGAACTTCTCCATCACCTGGCGCCTCTTCGCCCTCTCCTGCTCCTCCAAACCGGTGGTGTCTGAAAACAAACCGCAAACACAGAGCTGCTTTAATAACAGAGACTTAACTATGCGGTGGTTTGTGAGCGCTCTTTCTTCTCTGTGAGACGAGCTTCTCGTCCTTTTACGTTGCTGTTTAAAAAACATTTTTTAATGGTGAAAATTTCACTGAAACGTCATAAAATCAGAGCTTTTGAAAACTTATTTTGAGGCTAAATCTGCAAACTTTAAGTGGTTTCATCAGATTTGCTGCTTTTTTCTGCTGGTCACTGAAATTAAAAGTTCATTTAGATCATTTTATCAATAACTGAACACATTAGAGCCCAGAGGTGTTGATGAAGATGGCTGCCTGGTGGACAAAGTAACCCAGAGTCAACATGAGGAACAGCAGGAAGTCACCGCGTTCTTACCGATGGCCTTCTTCAGGGTCTCAAACGTGATCTCCTCAGCCAGCTGCGACTGTGGACACAAAAACACAAACGTGACTCACGTTTCCCTCCAGGACCACACGCTGCTTTAAAGAAGATTACTCAGACCTTTTCTGGAAGGCTGTTGGAAATGATGTCCACTTGGAGGGAGACGGTGTCCACGAAACTCTGCCTCCTGGACAGACGTTCTTCACCTTCAGGATGACAGATTCACACCACATAATGCTTTAAAAAGCCACAAACATTTCTAACTTTAGTGTCACGTAAAAGTAAAAGTTGTTTCTTTCCAGCAGAACGATTTCAGAATAATCAAACTGTGCTTACTGAAGCTGTCATATTACTGAAACCCAGGTAGCTCCTGTAATCTGCGCGTCCTTGACAACAGCGGTGACATCTCTGCTCCCGCACACCAAACTCCATCTTTTTTCTCCACTTCAATACAACGAGGAACAAATCCGCCCGATCCCGCGGGGATAAACTCGTCCCCGGGGGACGAACGCACCTCGAGCACTTGTGTATTCATCGCCAGCAGAGGGGAAAATAAGGACCACAGAAGGGCAGCTACTGTCTGAGCTGTGAGGTCATCTGATGAGGTCAGAAAGGTAGCGGAAAAGCGACAGAAAGCAGCTCTTTACAATCGCACGACGACCTCTGCTGTGAACTTTGCAGAGGCCTGACTCAGCAGCCGTCCTGCGGGCGTTAATGAGGAAAACGATCTGATCGCGGCTGATCCGCTGGAGCTTTAAGATTTTGTTCACACGGTGATGAAACACACAGAACTGAGCCGACGTGACAGGAAGCCACGATCTCCAAAAACTTTGACCACCTGAGCCTGAATGCAGCCCGGTCCTGCCGGACTTCAAGAGATCAGATTCCCTCTTAAAGGCCTCATGCACTGATTTAAGGTCCCACTCACCACATTTACAGTCTGAATGAATTTAATCTTACTGAAGCGCAGCCGGAATTAAAGAGATGCTGTGATTCATGATCGAGGATCAACCTGCAAACTTGTGCAGCATCCGTCCCTCATTCTCTTCCATCCATCTGGTCCAGATCCTCCCCCAAGGTGTTCCCAAGAGGCACAGTCTCTCAGGAGTCCTGTCCTGGGTCTGGCCTCGGGGCCTCCTCTCAGTTAGACATGCCTGAAACACCTCACCTGGGAGGCGTCCCAGTCACATGCTTGAACCGCCTCCCTTCAATGTGGAGGCCAAGACCCCTCTGAATGATCGACCTCCATCTCTAAGACAAAGCCCATCCACCCACAGCTTCACCCTCAGCTGCAAACTGCTCCACCTGGCGATCCTGAGCTGGAAACCTTGCACGGCTTGGACGAACAAAGAAGACCCGTCCATAAAACCAGGAGCAGAACCGTGTGAAAGGCTGCCTGGTGGAGTCCAACAGGTCTGCACTGGTTTGTCGTTATTAGGAGTTTGAACCCACCCACTCTCCTCTCTGAGCTCTAACTGCTTCATGATGATTAACTTCTTCATGTCATTAATAACACCCTACATGAAAAGTTTTCTGTTAACACTGCAAACAGAAGCTCCACACATGTAAACAATCTAAGTGCACTACGGGTAAACTGCTCTACACAGACGTGGCAGCACGTGTACTCACCGCAACAGGTCCACGAGCAATGCAGGCAAAACATTTCACAGAGTTACCAAATCACATGGTGAGAAAATCTACAGCTACACAACATCGAGCTCTGAAACAACGAAGCACCTCAACGACGCATCTACAGCTGCTCAGCAGTTTAAAGGTCAGGGCGAGTTTCTCTGCAGGCGTCAAAATGCTGTCATGAATACCAAGTTTGGTCTCTGCTCAGTGTGAAAAACACTTAAACTGTTCACACCACGGGTCTCAAACCCGCGGCCCGGGGGCCACACGGGCACACGTGTTTGTCTGCAGCTTGTGTTTGTTTGGTAGTTCAATGAAAGGCTCCAGTTAAGAGTGAGACATTTTAAAAAACAAACAACACTACATTTTTGGAAATATTTGTGGGTGTTTTCTTGTTTGCTTGTTGTTTTTTGCACTGCATGAACAGTAAAGTGGTCACATGAGATGACGGTGCCAGCGGTGGCCCACAGCTCATTTGAGTTTGAGACCCTGATATTTGTTCTTCTACACGTTCAGCTGAGACGACAGCAGCAGCAGAGCGAGCAGAGCGAGCAGAGCGAGAGCTCCTGCAGACTCTGATGCTTCACCGTCACAGCTCAAAACCCCGGGTCCTTTCATACTCGCAGTGTTTAAAAATGTAAGGGTGTGCTATTATTATTATTATTATTATTATTATTATTATTATTATTATTAACTCAAAAAAAAAAAAGATCCTGCGGAAAAACTGTGAACTTCAGGGAAAATTTTAATGATAAAAAAAGAAGAAGAAATATTCTGAGATTTTACAAATTAGGGAAAAAACTTAAAAAAAATCTTTGAAATTAAAAATAAAGCTGACAAAAAATCTTCTAAAATAATTAAACAAATTAAAATAAATAAATAAAACAGTCTGAGACTAAAGAAAACTAAAGATCATGAAGAAAATCTCTGAAATTCTTTTCAAATTTAAATTTAACCCCCAACTTATAAAGATATTTCTTTTTCTTGTATGTTTTTTAAACACAAGTTCGAGGCTTCACTTTGTATGTCGGGTAAACTCGTCAGCGCGCAGACGCCGCTCGGCGCTATGACATCACGTCAGCACCAGGTGCTGCTCCGCGGCTCCTCGCGCCATGAAAGGACAGTCTGTGCGAGCGGATCCCTCCCTCTCCTCCTGGGGGGCCTTTCAGACGCTGCTTTTATACCGATGCTGTTATCACTTGTGCTTCTGGGGTTGATAAGTAAATTGCGCCTTAATGAAATTGTCACCGTGCGGCTCTAAAGCCACCTCACCCCGTCTGACCTCTTGCCCAGAGCTGCGTTAGCAAGCTTACTGTTGCCAACGCAGCATTTTGCTGCTTTACTTCGGCCTGTTTTCGAGCCGCTTTAGCGACACAGTAGAAATGTGTCCACACTGCTCCTCTCCACAGCAGCAGCCTCGCTCTCCTTCTCTGCCGAGTCCACCGGGTGAGTCAGCAGTGCAGAAGAAGCTAACAGGAGGAGGCTGCATCAGACCTGCGAGAGTTTTCACTGGATCTGACTGTTGTACTAACAAAGTGATCCAATCCTGAGATTTTGAGAAGTGTGCATGAAAGGCGTGGATCTCGGGGTCCACAGCGAGTGTGGAGACCTGCTTACACTGACAGCTCAACTCGGAGACTTCAAGGTCAGAAAGAAGCCGTCAAACACTGAAAGCGGTGTGCAATCAAAAACTGGGGTTTGCATTGATTACGCTGAACTCTTTTGATTGCTGATTGCAAGTAATTTTGGTGTTTGGAGACAGCAGCAGTTCTTGTGAAAGAGCCTTTTCAGTTATAGACTGATGGCAGACTTTGTCTTACTGTAGTTTTATCGTCGTCTTCATGCACCACCGAGTGCTCGCAGACCTGGTCCCCATGGTCGGAGTCGCCATTTCAAAGGCAACGAGACCAATAAGATCAAAGAAGACAGATGAGTGGGAAACGTGGGACGACCATAGAAGACGAACTTCTGAGAATCGGACCGATTCAAAGGAAGAACTTCATTGTTGCGCCTCCTCGTCTGAAGCGTGACGAGTTTCCATTCACCCAACTTTGCAAAGTGAAGCCTTTGGTTTCGCACAAATAATGTGTCAGCTGATCTAAACCCAGCTACACCAGGTGACAACACATCTCTACACGCCTGCACAGGGTTGCCTTGGTTACCTCTGGACGTCTGCTTGCACCTGTGGAGGATTTTTCCTACTGTGTAAAGAACTGAAGGGACATGAAAGCGTGACAGAGGGAAGAAAACAAAAGCTTGTTAGACAATTATCAGTTTTCTCCTCCCGCTCGTTCTATCTACACGAGGTGAAAGGAAGAGCACGTGAAGTACGAACTATTCCCGAGTCTTTTTTGGACGTGGGCAGACTTCAAGGTTGAAGTCAAGCAACATTTTGAAGAAGTGATTTTAAAGAAAGTTGTGCGCGTGAAAGCCTGCAGAGGTTCACGTTGTTCTGAGCTGAAACAAACCTTTAAATTACAGAGACGGCGACAGCCTTCGGACTAATAAAGCTGATCGCACACAGAGTTGGTGAAACTTTATTTTCTCTTCACTGAACAACTCCTTAAGCTCTTAATCCGACAAAGCTTCAAACAGTTCTGAGGACACGGTGAGTATGAAAAGCAGGGAAATAAAACATACAGCACACAGCGCAGCAGCAGACAGCGGGCGCCTTAAATCCTTTAATCTGACTTTTTACAACCTTTTCAACTCTTGGCTTTCCTTCTAACTTGTTACTTGTATCACTTTTATCATATTTCCTCTTTAAGAGATAACAGCATAATGTGACCATCGTCTAATTCGGTGGATTTTTACAGCTACACTTTTCCATCAAAAGGAAATATTTTAGATGCTCCGAGAATCAGTTCAGGCACATTTTCTCAGAAAGCGTCTCTGGTATCTGAGAAACCATGAAATGGGACAAAAGGCTGCTCAACAGGTATGAGATTAAAAAGGTGTGAATCAACCAATGAGGGAAGAAGAAAAAAAGAAGAGTTATCAGAGCAGCAGTTTTCTTAGGTAAGAAGAAATAGAAACATGAAGTTCCCCGTCCTAACGGAGGCTGGACTGTCGTACCTGTGACCTGAGGAACGTAGGGGATGGAGAGGCGCTCGGCGTTGTACCCCGGCCCGGCCAAACACTCGGCCATGTCGGCCGTCTGGAAGTACAGCTGGCTGTCCTCTTTGTCCAAAGATTCAGGAAGCCTGGAAGAAAAGACGCAAGACACAAAAATAAACTTGCTGAGGAAAAACCTCAGAAGAAAGCGTGTTTTTAGTCAACGCACAGCACGGCTTTACTTCTCAGAGCGACGCTGCAAAAAGGTCACATTTGTTCTCATCTGTAATTCAACTCTGTACAAGTTCATATCGGGGTCCCTGCACACGCATCTCACAGCTGGCTGCACAGAGACAAACTCGGTTTGTCCCAGTCGGAGCACAAATCGCTTAAATGAAAAGCAGCTGGTAGCGTCGAGGTGACTGCTGTTGTGATTTGGTGCTGTATAAATAAAACTGAACTGAAGCGAGTAGCTGTTTGTCAGTCTTACATCTGTCGATGCAAAGACATGCTGCTGTTGTTCTAATAATGTATTTTTATGAGTTATTGATCCCAGAAGTTGAATATGTGAATTTATCTGCAACCTTGAAAAGTGAAGCAGCACGGTTCCTTCACTCCTGAGTTTGTTTCTCGTAAACTTTCAAACTTTTTAAGCTTCAGCTGCCACACTCATTACTGCTCTGTTTATTAGAAAATAATGAGGCTTCACAGCCTTTTTCTAACCCGAGCCACTGGATTATTTCTCATGAAACAAATTCAGGCTGTAATCTGCACTTACGGACACTTGTCTCTGAAGATGTGCTCTGGGAGGAGGTAAGGAGCATCCATGTTCCTCAACTCAATAACCTGGGCAGAGAACAGCTGATTATATGATGTTACACTATTTACAAATAAGAAAGATGTAAACAAGAAGAAACAGCTAACAGGCAGAAAACGGCGGTGCATCATCAGCATACTGAATAAATCATATTTTTGTATTTTCTGCAACAAATGGCAGTAAAAACAAAAAGTGGGAATGAGAGCCAGCTGCTCTGATCCTCAGTAATGTCAGGGAGGAGTCACCTTGCTGACGTGCTGGCAGAAGGGCGGGTTGGCAATCATCTGACTCAGGAAGTTGAGGTACGCGGCCACCAACGCCATGATGCCGCAGCGGATAAACATGGGCAGGTTCTCTTCGTTGTTAAGAGCCATTTCCTGCACAAACCAGTTGCAAAAACTGTGTTAGCGAGGACAAACCAGCAGCTCGGCTTCTGTTTCTGGTCGTGGAAGCATCAGAACTCCCCGCATACACTCGGTACACCCTCACAGGAGTTGAGGTTTACTTCCCCTTTAATCTGTGTGCAGGGTTATAAGCATGCAGCAGCATTTGTCTAAGGTCACACGAACACGTATCTTCTATTTTCACACACCGTCAGTAAAAAGGTTGTCGTCAAGGTAACGACCCTGAGGTGACACAGCAAACAAGGCAGACTAAATACACTGTGCCACATGTCTGTGACGCACTGAGTGCGACTTTGTTTTAGCTTCAACCAAATCTACCAAAGAATATTACAGTAATAATGCCAATAAAAAGCAAAATACTATCTAAGTGGAGAAGCTGGAAACAAATATCTGGCTTCACTCGAGCTAAGCCATCGAGCTAAGAGGACCAGCGCAGATGTGTGGTTGCTTTGGTTCAGTATACACATAAACTATTTTACATCAGATTCTCTGAAAATTGACACAAGACCGGGTTAAGTGCTCGATCTTGAAACTCAAGATGTGACGATCAGATTTGACTGAAGCCGCAGTCGTTGGCTTGAAACCATAAACTCAAAGTGTTTACAGAGGTCAGGCTGGAGGAACGTTTTACCATCGATGTCTAGAAGACTGAAGTCTTTTTCCAACCGCCAGTATCGCCCCCCAGTGGCCTTTAAATTAAACGCAAACACTTTAGCACTAAAATTGTCTGGCGAGTGATTGCAGGAGCTGGTCATGAGCGTAGAATGGTTACAGACTGGTATAGGATGCTGCACTGGAAACCTTGGGACTGGTTTGGTTACTAGCAGATTGCAGTGGTGGCCAGTAAATTGCATGAAAAATGCCGACTTGTCTGTAAACACTCGCCAACTTTTCTCAAGGCGACTGTGAAACAGACACGTGACAGAAACCAGACTGAAGGGAAACGTGACAGAAATGCGTCCCCATGAATTTGTGCTATGAAGCACTTCCTGTCTGAAACTGCATGAGAAAGAAACTAAACAGTCTTTTTTTAATACTTCTATGTCTCAAACGTTCCCTGAATTAAACGAAGGTAAACACAGCACTCAGAGTGTGTGTGCGTGCACAAACATCATGTCTACAGTGCTGTGACATTTGGAAACGATAAGATCTCAGCGTGATGCACAAACAAGCTGAAGCTGCGTGTGTGTGTGCATGTGCGTGTCTTTTATGTGTGTTGGTGCGAGCGTGCACATTTCCTTCGCACCTCTCTTGCACTTCCAGGAGGTTTTATTGGAGCTGCGTGGGTTCTCACGGTCTAATGACATAAAGGCAAATGACAGCACAGCTACTCATCAGCCACTTAAATATGACACCTGACACCAAAAATATAGCATAATCACATCGAGGGTGCTTTAGACTGAAGCACCATAATGTGGAGCGTGAAGAGCTGGTTAAACACGAGGTTAAACACAAACCCTCTAAACAGGGATGTAACTGAGGATGTTTACTCCACACCTCGGCACTGACAGCACCACAGCTTCAACAGACGACTTGATCTCCTCGCCGATAAAACTTTTCCACTATCACCTGATACCGGTGACCTGGAAACACTGCACACTCATGACTCGTCTAATTTTATTGTATTCAAGTTATAATAAGCTACGTTTTTACATTATATCTGAGTGAATGTTTGGGGACTGTGTCACTCTGTTACTGCCTTCTACGAACACACACCATCACTGCAGGCATCTTAACTCATTTCAGTGGTCACCAGAACATAAAGCACATGTCATCAGTCAGATCTGATCTTAAAAACTCTGACCACCATCTCTGCTGTCACGTGGTTCTTTGGGTGTCTGTGGTGATGCAGAGACGGTAAAAATAAATGAAAAGTGTTAAACAAACATTATTTAGATTAAAATTCCCATCTGACACCCTTTGACACATCCTTATGACAAATCAGATGTTCAGATGCACTTTTTTAAAACTTATTTTAGCCTCAGCTCGTTGGCTGCAAGCCGCTTTGCAACCTCTCTGTCCTGTTCTGATCTCTGCACAGAGACACAGACGTCCTGAATATAAAGTGCTACAGATGGAAAAAAAACCTGACTATATGTAATCTCTGATCTGAGAAATATCACAGATCTTCACATCTGTGTGGAGAGAGGTGAGATACAGCCACAGTCATGGAAGCTGTTAATGAGGAATCGAGCTCAGTGAGGCTGTGACACGAGATCAGAACAAATCAGAAACAGAAGAAAATCCCTCACCTTTCTCCTGAGTGTGTTGAAATCGAGAGTTTACAGATGGGTGCAGACTATTTTTAGATTTCAGATACTTAACTCTGGGAATTATGGATGTAAAGTTTAATTGAAACTGTAAATGTGACAGAAAGAGCCAGAAAATCTACTTATGATGAGATTATTCTGACTGAGCTTCCAAACACAACCAAACAGAGGAAACTGCTTTTTGTCTTCGCTTTGACTAAAAACACAAACTTCAGATGTGAATTCATCGGTTTTACCTGCAGCGCGATGGCGAGTCGAATGAGGTCGATGACCACTTCCTCATTGGCCAGCTCGATGGTCAGAATGGCGAGGGTGGTGAAGAGCAGCTCAAAGTTTTTGTGGACGTTATCTTCCTCTTTGCAGCCCAGATAGATGTGACGGTAGAGCTGCTGGCCGTGCTTCAGGGACGACGCAGAACCAGAAGCAAAGACAGAAACAAAGAGGAGGACAGAAATATGGGAACTGTTTAAAAAAAGTACCTTTAACATGTTTAACATAAGGAAACAGCGGAGGTGTCGGGGACTATTTTCAGTGGCGGATTAAACGATATGTGGGGCAGTGTGGGGTAAATGTAAACTGCAGCATGTGGGTTCACTTTAATGATGGTCCATGTTCTGCAGTGCAGACTCACTGATGTGGATGACAACAGAGTCACATGACTCAGGCTGCGTCACCCACACAGTCAGCAGGAGACGCCGACTCTGGACCATCAGGTAATGACAGACGGCGAGCTGAGGACGGCGGGGGGATAGTAACTATATTACAGGAGTTTGAGATTAATTCTGCTGTTATTGCTTAGCTTCAAATTTAATTTCTTTAAAGTAAAAAATATCAACATTTCCTCTTTTCCAGCTGTAAAGATTCATTTTTATCTTCTGCGATATTAAACTGACATTTTTTATCAGATGGATGCAGACATTTACAGACGGTGCCTTGGGCTCTAAAAATGCATGACGGCGATTTTTAAGCACATTTTTTGACATTTTAATAAGCAGAACTTAATGGGTCTCTCAGTAAAAAAACAACCAGCGGATTAAAGTCTTAATTAATCGCCCTGTTCTGAACATCTATCACAGCAGCTCCACTGCGGATGAATCAAAAAGTTATTGTCCCTGAAAACGCAAATGAAATGATTAATCCCATTAAAATCTGGATAAAAATATCCCACCGCTGCTGGAGTGGGATTTATGAAACACACAAAAGCAGAGCCCGGCTGCCTGCATTCGTTATAAGCTCGACAGCTGAAGACAAAAACTTTTATTTACAGCTAATTAATTACAGTTAGACACGTTAATGACCTTAGACACCGGCCTACAGAGGAGGTCGTTCCCCCGACCTCTGGTTACAGCTCAGGTGTGATTCGCAGGTGAAAGAGTGAAATCGCAGGGCTTCATTTTGGAAATGCTGCGTGCCGATGATGACCGAGGCTTCCCGCCCAGGTCAATGAGCTCCAAAGACCTCGCTTGTAAAAACACCTGCATTCGGATCATCTCCAGCTCCATGTTTTCACTACGGCTCAGCTGGAGCAGCTTTCCAAGATTCCCGGTTCAAAATAATCTGTCTGAAATAACCTGCTGTGTGTGTGCATGAGTGTGTGGGTGTGTGTGTGTGTTGTGTTTGTTGTGTGTGTGTGTGTTTGTGTGCGTGTGTGTGTTGTGTGTGAATGGGAGAATGAGGCTTGTAGTAAGAAAGCACTGAGTGCTAAAATCGGCTATAATTATGCAGCATCAGATCCCCTTTAAAAGTTCTTTTCTATATTCTGAGATGCATTTTGTTTCAATCATTTCCAGTTGGCAGTTTGGATTTCTGTGTGTCACATTTCCCCCCCAAGAGATGATTAAGGTGAAATGAGGTCAGCAGTAAAAGATTGAGAATCTCAAAGAGTATTTCTTTAGAAAAGAGAAACGGTGACCTCAGCGTGATTATGATACCTTCTTCATGAACGCGACGTCTTGCTTGGAAATCTTCTCTCTCTTAATCTTCAGTGCGGAGACATTAGGAATGATTCTGTAACAGAGCCGGACACGAGAGCGTCGTTAAACCTGGCGCCAGCACCGCAGGGCTCGTGTAAGTACGGTGAGCGATGCGCTACCTGATGCCGCGCAGCTTGGCGCGGTTGTCGTGGCGGTCGAGGATGTTGTGCAGGATCTCAAACACCAGCTGCCTCAGCTCGCTGTCCTCCATCAGAGAGATGGAGAAGAGCGGGTCCAGGAAGGGAGGAGGCAGAGCCGCCGCCATGGACTTAGACTTGAAGCCGGAGGTGACCTGAGGAAGAGGAGACAAGGTGAGATTCATGGCGGCGTGCAGCAATTACCCCAGAGGGAGAAACGGCTGATCGGCAGAGCGTTACGTTCACAAGCTTGTGAGCGTGTGCCAGTGTTGACTTTTCCCACCGTTTGTGACTCTGACGTGATGATTTTTGATCAGCGTGAACAGCCGAAGACAAATCTGATCGTTATCACAATCACGCTCCGCGTCGGCACGCCTCACTCTGCTGCGTGAGAGCGCGTCGAGGAACAAAATGACAAACACTACACTGTTTTTAGCAAAAAATGTATCCTGTCAGAGACGCATGCAGACGCCACACTGATCACTGTAACGGGTGATGTGGCCCATGTGATCAGCCAGAGCAGGGCCTCGCAATACATGCACATCAGAGATGCATACGCAGTAGAAACAACTCGCTGAATTTTTAACATTCAAACCGTTTGGTTTGTTAGCAGCAGCTGCAAATGAGAAGCTTTAGTGTAACTTTGCTGAGTCCTGGCTGTGATGATCACTCAGCTTCAGAGATGCTGAAATCTGTAACGAAGCAGACTCACCTACTTCAAACAAGGTGGGAGAGTGAACCGAGCATGTCAGCTGGTCCAGACTCTCACTCGGTGTTTGTACATGTGCACTGTGGTCATTTACCAGCGCAGTTATTAAATGGCTTTAATTGAATAAGTCGGCCCTGTGATGGACTGGCAACCTCTCCGAGCTGCGTCCTGATCTTCGTCCTGGGTGAGTCCCTGCTTTCACCCCGACTACAAACCCTGAAAACATCTGGGTTTTCTCCCAGCAGGCTGCAAAATCACACACACACACACACACCTCATAATGCTCAGCCCCATCTGCTGTCGCATGGCATTATAAATACTTCGACCTTTCACCCCTCCTCCAGCTGCTCTGAGAAGCAGGTGGCGGCGCGACGAGGGGAGACGAGGACAGAGATCCGTAATGAAGCGGCGAGAGAGCGGGCACGAGGGTGTGTGTGTGTGTGTGTGTCGGTGCCACCTGTGCCTCCTCGTCTCGGGGAGATGAGGGTCTCTCACTGAAGCAGATAATGAAGGAGAAGGAAGCGACTTCACGCAGACTTCGAGTGTTAAACAGCCAGAGCTCCAACATGGCCGATAATAAACACACAAATACGACTTTCATGTAACTGGAGACGCGTCATTAGGACGGAGAAACGCGTCTTTGATGCTTTTACATTTAGAGAACATGACTCATTGTGAGGACGTCCAGAGTTTTCGTCCGTGGGTATTTCAGGTGGGACTGTGCACTATTTTAGTTTTCCTTATTGAAGCTCAGGTTTTGTATGCCGGTGTCTTTGTCTCGCTTCCATTAACGGCACATTGTTCCTGTCTCATGAACAGCACAGAGGGAACAAACCGAGGACTCACCATGATGAGGGAGCTGAGCAGCATGGTCTGGATCCGCTTGGTGCCCTGATGCCTGCGTTACACAAAAGATAAAGAAACCCCGTCAGGACCGACCGCAAACTCACAGTGTCCAGTACAGCAGACCGGGGCAGTCAGTCCCCACAGGCTGCCATGTTACATGTTTACAGCAACTGTGTGACAAATAAGAAAGCTGTGAGGTTCAGAACACCCGAGAAGTGAAACGAACACATTTTATCTGCTACTTCGTATTTATTAGTGTCACTGTCAACACACGATTGGTTCAGACCAGCAAACGTTTATAGAAGTGTGAACACTTGCTGAGGATCAGTTAATCAAGTGTATTTGATAAGTGGCTCTGAGGTACTACTCACTGTCTGAAATCACAGAGGCAGTGAGAATGCACTCAGTGTTTTTAAATAGACTTCATGGAGTGAAAACCTGACGATGCTAGCTTTAGCTGACAGCTTCAACATGCAGTCCAGATGTGCTCACCTCTGCCTATAAAATAGCAAACAGCCAAAACACAAAACCTGAAGCTTCAAAATGAACGTGCACTGACATCCAGACAGTCTGTGGTTCTCTTCACAGTCTGAAGACTCCACGTGAGGAAGAAGAGTAAAGGTGCTGTAAGCAGCAGCAGGATATCTTCAGTGTTGACTTTTATAGTGAAACGCTGTCAGACCTCCTGTTAGCATCAACAAGCTGCAGAGAGAAATTACCCGAAAAGGAACAGAGAGAGCGAGCGTCTGTGAGGAGGAGGAGGGCGTTCGTCTGATTTGGGATTATCTGCCCTTGCACTCTCGCCTGAGGGATTAGCTTGTTTTTCTTTCTTTTTTCTGGCTGCAGGGACGGCTGCACCGCGGGGTGTCCAGGAGGTGAAGTGAGGACAGATTAGGAGAAAGATTTGATGAAGAGAGAAAAAAATTGCGAGCGTCTTCTTTAGAAACTGCTTCCAGTGTTACACGTTACAGCGCTGAGCTAAAAATCAGCACAGCTTTAACTCCATGAAACCAGAATATAAAGGTTCAGCCCAAACCTCACAGCTACTGAAGGACCACAAACAGAGGCAAAGCACTGAGAGGCGAGGTTTTGACCCAATGACTGCCCTTTGGTCTCTGAGGATAAAATATAATACAAAAATGATTTTAAAAGCACGAAACCTATCAGCCAATCATATCGTTTCATTGACACAAGCATGGAGTTCAGGACAGTTTAAATGTGCTGTGACAGTAAAATCCACTCATCGTCACCATCATCATCATCATCATGCAGAGAAGTCTCCTGACAGTACAGTCCTGTGAGGACAGCTTCATTTGTGACGAGCGACCAGCCGAATCGGCGTCTTAGCTGCACGCAGCGTTTCAGAGCTGCGAGCTGACTGGCTGCAGCTCTACGAGGGAACCTCCGGGTCTCTGGATAATGAATGTGTGACTCACCCAATCTTGACTGTGTCCAAGGCGTGGCAGGGCGTCCCGTAGACTGGCACTTTGCCCATGATGAACATCATGACTTCAGCTCGCTGGTAGTCTGGCAGATTTCCACCGAAGAAGCCTGGCGGCGACGCCGGGGGAGACAAAGATGAGTCAGAACTCAGTGAATGAAAAAAACATTCAAGGTTATTTTTACTAACACATGCAGGCACATATTCATTAAGACAAACACACTCTGGAGTAATAGAGGAGCTCGTACCGATGGTCTGGATGATGGCGTTCTGGACGATCCGCTCCTCGCTCTCTTTACCGCGGACGGACGAAACGCTGGAGGCGGAGTTCCTCCTCGAGCTGTCGCCCAGCTCAAAGTCCACGCTCATCCTCAGGTGTTTGAGCAGAGTGTTGAACACCTCCAGCACGGTGGGCCCTGCCATCACACCCGCAGGTTAAATGAACATCACAGGAAACATTAGCCTGACATTTTCGTAAACGGGAAGAGACGGGATTCCATCTTTTGTTCGTATCGGGCCTTTTAACTATGATTTCGTAGGAGCTTTGCATAGGAAAAGCCACAAAAAGGTGAAGAGAGAAGGATTATTTAATCCTAAAACAGGGCCTGTTTCGTTGCACCTGGTGTGGCTAAAAGTGTTCATTTATTTTGAAGGCCAGTGGCAGATGTTGTAGAAACATCTGTATAAACGGCCTGGGTCGAGCTCTTTAATGAGTCGTTTAAACATGTATTAGTCAGCTGCTACTAAGTGAAATTTGGGGTTTTGCTGACACTGCTTGTGTGGTCCACGAGTGGCTGAGGGCTCAGTAGCTTCACAAACACACAGACTGGTCAGAATCTCACAGTAAATAAAATTCTGTGGTTTTCACACAAATTTCAGGTTTCAGATTTACGTGGTTTGTTTCCCTTCGTTGGATAAATCCCACACTCCACCTGAGCCGTCACATTTTTGTAGAAAGCTGTTGAAACCTCCAACATGTGAACAGTCACCATCAGTTTCAAACAGCCTTAAATGGAAACATATCGACACTCCTGCCTCAGATTGATCTGTCGAGGAGACACACGTGTAACGTGTGCTCTGATAGTTTCCTCCTGCGTCATCGGGTCTGCTTGTTTCTACCCAGCTGGTCTCTGAACTGGCTGTTTGCTCCAACATGCTTAGCTCTGGCGCCGCTAAGCTAACATAATGGAGCCGACGTGGTATTTAACCAATAATCAAGGGAAATATACAGTTTGACTGCTTCGTTAAAAATAAGGCAAAACATTTTTACTAAAACTTTAACTTTTATTTTAATGGGTTCATAAACTCAGGAAGTAAGAATTTTAAATACCATCAGGCAGATGTTGCCATGTTACCAATAGACCAATTAAAACATAAATAATTCGGAGAGCTTCCAGGCTGCTGTGATAAGGAGAAGAAAACATATTTGCTTTAAACACTTAAAATTGTCTAGTGAGCTATTTTTGGTGGAGCTGAACCTGCAGATATCCGACATAAACTGCAGTAAAATAAACACGAACAGGCTCTGCTTTGCAGTCCTAATTCACTCTGTCACAGAAAGCAACACCACAGATTATTACAAGCCAGCGCTGAATGACGGGCCGGGCGGCTCCAGGCACAGCTCGGACTTCGCTCGTTTAAATAAGACAGAAAACATAAACTTTTAAAAAAACGGAGACAGGAAAATAAAAAACAACAAATGGAGATGATAAAGCTACATTAAATTTTAGCAAATATTATGAATATGAAAAGCGACATTACAGAGGTGCCAAAATCCTGAAGTTCCTCTGGTGGCCACTTGAGGCCGCCTCCAAAAGTGAGTCAACCACAAACTATAAAAGATGGACTTCGAAGGTTAACGCGTCAACCAGCGTGCAGCCCGTTTCTGCTGCTCCTGCTTCTTTACTTTTTATTACTTTTTTAGTTTACTTTAACTTAGAGTGTTCGCTTGTTTTAATAGCTTTCTTTTACATAAATTCCTTTGGGATTATTAAAGTATTCTGACTTAAAAGTGAGGCTAATGCATAAGTGCCTTAAACTTGCACTTTTATAAATGACCAGTAGAGGGTGATAACTGGTTACAAAAAGACTTCCGGTCCTATAAACATGTAGCAGTACAGATACTGCAGAGTGCCCTCTAGTGGACTACTATGCAATGTCAGCACTTATAACATGGTTGAAGGATGTTTCTCCATGTCTTCTTTACCTTTTTCTTATTGGCTGCCATAAATGCCAATACAGTAGATCAGCCAGTAGCTAACACTGGCTGATATTATGGGTGTGTCAGTACACGGGTCAGGCTGCAATGCTTTGTTTCAGAAAGGAGGATTATCTGAGGAGTGCCCGTCTGTCATCACATCCAGCTTCATGGTGACGGTGGAAACGCTCATCTTGATTTAAAATGGGACTTCACAAACCAGTGGGTGACATCACAGTAGCTACATCCATCTTTGTAAATCTCACAGATCAGGATTCTTTGAAGGGTTATTTTTCACTTTCTCTAGCAGTCTGGGAGCAAACAATGATCTGCAACAACACATTCTGAATTACCTTTAGTGATACTTACTCTAATCTACTGACACAGACTGACTCACAGCATCACACGACGGTGCTATTCTACATACCACCAACACTCAGCTACACAACCACAGCGTGATCTCTGTGCGTCTGCAGCTTCCCCGTTTACTCAGCTCACACTTCGGACACTCTGTGGATTTGTTCAAATGTCACATGGCACAGAGTGACCAGAAAGAAATATATAGAATAGTTACAGAGGGCGCACTGTGAAGAAACCCTAAATAAAGATTGCTGCTCGAGCATACCCTGCAGAACCTCTACAGCATCAGGGCAATCAACCTACTGGTATTACTGGGACGTAGCTGCTCACCATGTTAACTGGGAGACGCTGCCCATGTAAAGGCTGACAGTATGACTGTCAGTTATTTAGTGCTGCTTGCACCTAAATCTCAGAGACAAACACCACAAAATGCTGCAGAAGTTGACGATAAAGCTGACCCTTCCAGTTACTGCAGTGTTATTGCATTACATCAGATTATAACATGATCTGGTTCTGGTCAGTCTGTGTACGTTAAAGTTGAACTGAAAGTATCTGGTGGTGTATTCCTGCTCATCATCTAAGAGCTCTAAGAGCATCTGCTGGTAAAAGATAAAAGGAAGAATAAAGGGGAAAAACTCAAGAGAAGAGAGGTTCAAATAACTTAAATCTATTTTTTTTTACCTTTTTTATAAAGAGAACAAAACTTGAGACGTGAAAGCTGTGATTACCCAGAATGCTCGTTAACGCCGGGCGTGTGGCGAGGGGGGGAAGTCTGCAGAAGCTGCTCTACTCAGTTTAAATCCAAGCACAGGGTCATACCGTACCGAGCCACAGATTAGGAGGAATCGTGCATTCGCTTTCAAAGGTGAACACGTCACTTCTTTTGGAGCCTTGGATCATTCCTATCCAGGAGGAAGGTTGTGTTTTATTTCCAGGAAGAGGCAGTAAAAATAATTACTACTTACAGCTTGTCTTCAATTAAATACTCTCAAGTTTTTAATTTGTTTCCACACCTCAGTGGGACAGAGTAATTTGAATGTTTTCTGTTGACTTCTTTTCTTCCTAACAGTGAAAAACCTGATGATTTAATTATCAGGCGATTAGCATCTACAAACGTTCAAGCAGAATGAAACGCCGGGACAGCAGACACAACGTGACAACATCAAAAACACTCGAGCACCTGTTTAAACACCTCCGAGTGCTGTCTTTACTTTGTGTTTCTTCAAATTCAAACTTGTTCCTTCAAGTTTGGGTAACAAAGTAACACTTGTAGCAAAACTTTAATTTCTCCCAAGATTCAAAAGTCTAAAGAGGTCAAAATGTCAATAACATAAGTGTCAGTTTAGCATTCACCATGACAAATCTCATATATAAAGCCTACGATTTAACTTCCTTCAACCTGTCAACAGCTGCTGAGAATCTGCAAGCTGCTTTGCAACCCTCCTCCACCCAGCGCCTGCTTTTAACGCTCTGTCCAACTTAATAAACAACACAACTGTAAGTTCAGGTGAAATAAGGACACATTTTCACTGACGTGGTCCCGACAGGTAAGAAGACGAGGAAGACGCAGCCAAGCTTACATCTTAAAACAGCTGAAAACAAACAACAGAAAAAAGGTTGTTTTTCTCTTCATCAGTTAATCGGCTGATTGTTTCAGCTCCGACAGTTTATTTAATAAGAGTGCAGATCGTCTATTAACAACTCATCTCTAACCAGCTTAGTCTGAGCTTCCTCTGCAGTGGGGGGCGTTTATGTCAACGCTTCATGTGGACCGTGACGTTTTCTCCTCGGCTTAATAATCGCACATAGGAAACAGAACTCGTTACTGTTTCGAGCCTGTCAAAGGAAAATGTAATTAATAATAATATAGTAATAATATGCTATATATATACTGCCTTTTGGTTTTATGGTTTTAAACTAAACATACGGAGCTAGAAAGCTAAAATCGACGTGGAAATGTCAAAAACTGTACTTCCTCTAATCTCCACTTGAGGCCGCCTCTAAAACTGAGCCACTCCCCCGTTATTGGATTTTGGTGAAGGTTAAATTTAGGGGTGTGGCCTCTTTGAGTCACTGAACTGGATCTCTTAACTGTGTTTGTTGTTGCTGACAATTATTATGGCCTAACAGCTGAAACATCACAGATCAGCTTCCTGTTTAAAATGTGAAAATATTACCAGCCTGTTACTGCAGATGATCACACACCTGCGTGTGCAAACTGAGCCAGCTCACATCGGCTGATAACTTTCTTCTGGCTGCAGAGAAGCAAGCTAAAGGCCAACAACATCCTGCTTTGATGCACGTATTTAATCCTGATTCTGGGCGACGCCGTCTCAGATTCTTTCTTTACGTTAATGCCTCCTCTGCCTGTGCCTCTACCAGCGCGTTGTTGTTGTGTTTGACACGTTATGGCCATCTGCAGACTTGCAGTGGTAAAGCTAATGACACCATTTTTTAAACCTCAGAGAGATGATGACATCTTCCTCCATGACGTCCTGCAGAGGGAAGCAGTCTGTCACTTTAACTCACCCACAGATCCTTTGGCGGCGATGGCCACCGTCTCCAGGAGCACCTGGACGATGCCGGCTCTGACCCGCGGCGTGTTCTTGTTGTTAGTGTCGAGGTGGTTCAGAACCTGCTGGATCACGTGGTGCGAGTGCTGAGCCTGAAAAAGCCAAAGAGGATTTCAAATGATGTTTGGAACAAATATAGAGTTTGCTGCCGATCACATGGTGAACGTCACAGACAGACTGTATATAAATGATGGAGCAGCTTCTGAAGCCCCGTCTTACAGACTCGAGCGGACAGTGTTTTTAGACCAGACGTGACGAGCAGCAGGAAACGATACACTCGCACCACGGTGAAAAGTGTCAATCAGCAGGTAGGTCCGCTGTAAACAGTACGATGATCTGTTTCACTCTAAACGCGACCTTTGTTTACAAAATGAGCATCACGCTAGATTTAACAAAACCATGAAACGAGACCACGAACTAATCGGAAAATGCTGAATTATGTCATATGTTAAAGTTACAATTTGCAACTTTTTCCAATAAATTTCTCTACAATGACAGTTCTCTGAACCAGGAGGCGCCTCCTGCTGGCCAGCAGAAAGAATGCAGCTAAGTGAGACTTCTGCACCGGTTTCATTTTTCAGTTTGCAAAAATCATTTATGATTAAATCCTTAAATCATATTATGTGATTTACTATCACACATTCATCAAATGAACTTTTCTTCGTGTAGAATTATTAACATTAAATAGAAAAAGTTTATAGTTGTAGTTAGTGAACGTCTGAGCAGGTGCGGCTGATTCTGTTATGCTGGAGGAGGATTTGTGCTAGCATGCTGCTGAATGCAGATACTAGACAAAGTGTTCTTTCATTTGTTGCTAATAAACCAGCAAATTTCCACTGAAACGAACATCTTACAGCGGCTGTAAAACTGGACAAACTGCAGCAGCAATAATCCGCTGAAGTTCATAGAGAACAAACAAAAAAGTGAAAGTGAAGAAAGTTTTGTTTTTCTTTAAAGCATCTCAGTTATTAAAAAGTTGCAGTCTGTAGTATTTCCTGCTCGCTGCGTCTCCTCTCTCTGTGCAGCTGAACTGCTATAAAACAGTTACTTCAGAAGGCGACCTTTGACATCGAGGAAGTTTTTGTGAAGCTGCTGGATGTGAACTCGACCTTAAAACATCTCCAGCAGCTGCTTTAGACAGAACTTTTCCTTTTTAAAGACTCAGAGAGCTCTCGACTACTGGTTTTCACTGCTTCCAGATCAAATCAGCTCCATTTTTTAGCCTCTGCCATCTCGACCTACGTGTCAGAGGAAGTGCAACGTACCTGGATGGAGTACATGATGATTCTGAAGCAGGAAACTGCAAACTCGTTGGGGTCCCACAGGTGATGGTTATCCAGGTGACTGAAGGAAGAAGAAAATAAAGTGATTATTCAATCGACCCAGCTCTGAGGAGCATCCCTGCAAAGACTGCATCTTTAAAATGACACAATCCAGAAATCGCACACAGACTCGGCTGCATGAATGAGAACGGATTTATAATCTGTCAATATTAGTGTTATGATTAATATAATCCTAATATTATAATCCATCAGGGGTTTTCAGAGGTTGGTGAACTCTCTCCTGTCCCTCTGTGTCTTTGGAAACAGCCGGAGCTCCTTCATCCTTCCTGCTACTACAGCAGTTGTGCTGTCAGGGAGTTCGGGATGAAGCCTGACTGACGGCCGGCTCATGTTTGCTGTTGTCAGATCTCCCTCTCTGCTGTTTGGCTGCTTTGAATTATTTAAAGGATAATAATAATGCTGCATTGCTCTGAGCCACAGATTCAGAGTCAGTTCAACATTGTTATTGCGTAACAATGAAGAACAACAACACAACAAAAACAAATAAGAGTAACAAGAACAAAAATAAAAAAGTTCATCACTGACTTTAGTCAGTGGATGTCAGGCTGAGAGTCTGCAAATTAAATCTCATCGTGGTTCAGTGATGAGCAACAATAATCATCATCAGCCTTCATGTCAGGATCACAGCCCAGCTGTGTAAGTGAAGGATGTGCTGCTTGCAGAGTAACACAGACAGATTATAATTAGATCGTGCAGAGGAGGATCAGTCGCATAAACACAGAAATGCAGGAAAACTGAAAATCTGACTAACACAGGCCATGAACACGTATGTGCTCGAAGATGAACCGAGTCGTAGAGGCTCGCACACACTCGGTCACAGATTTAAAGAAGCATCGCGTGGGTGTGCGTGAAGGTGAGGAAGAGGAGCGGTAACGATCGATAACGGCAGATTTAATCACCTCAGTGGGAGCGAGGTAAACTCATCTATCGCATATATGTGCATACATACAAACACGCGGGGAGGACGGCTTATTCGCTCAGCGGCTCACAGCTCAGAGCGTGCAGAGCTGATAGAAAGAGACGTGAACATTAATTCCCCGACAATAAAGCTTCCAGGGCTGACGAGAGTGTGGAGAGATGCCGTTCCTCTGACGGCCACTTGAAGATTCCCATCTCTGCTTTATCTTTAGAGCGCTGGCTCGTCTTCATCAGCTCATGCTTGTGTATGCTCAGAGTGCCAACTGCTGTTTTTATGGTCGTTACTTCATATCCTCCCTGTATGAAGCACAACAGCGGCCGCTTATTTACACCAACACTCTGATCGCTGTGAGGCACGTTTATCTGTTCATATGATTCAAGATGGCTCTGCTACGAGTGTCATCAAGTGGGAGTTTTCCATAATTGGAAAATTCATGCCCATCGACACGGATCGATAAATAAAACGGCGCTGTGTGAACGGGTGGATGTGGCTTGTTCTGTAAGGCGCTTTGAGCGGTCGATAAGTCCAAAGGAGATCGTTATGTATGCAGTCCATTTACAGGCTCGTATTGTAGGCGTGGATTGATTATGTGACAACAGACGAGAGCTGTCAGAGGCCACGCCGCTGCCCTGCGTGAGAGCAAGACTAATAAAGATGGAGGGATCGTTTCCAGCCCTGCTGAGTGACCCGTATTCTGTCGTTACGCGACCTTACTGCGCCACCTGACCATCACAGATTTCTCTAAAAATTCCCGGAGCAAAGATGCACTTCAACGGGAATTTAACAGTTTCAGGTCTCTACGTCTGTGAAGGTTCTCAGTCATCCAGGTCAACGTAGTCTAAGAAGTTTGGAAAGAAAAGCATCTGGACTTCTTTAAGTTTCTTGAAGACGTTTCATCAGAGAAGCTTCTTCAGTTCTAAGAACAACTGGTTTTAAGCCCTATGGGAGTGTCTGCAAGAGGGTCATGGACCCCTATTGATTCTCCCTAGTTGGAAAATCAGAAGGACAATCAGAACAATATTGTCATCCCTCATCAGATTCAGAAGTTTCTGATAAGGGATGACAATATTGTTCTGATTGTGTAGCTGGTGTATCAGAGAAACTCAGGGGAGTCTTCTCCAAGCACGACATCCCAGTGTGCTTTAGACCCACCCGCACACTCAGACACAAACTGCTTCATCCCAAACACAAACTTAATGTGGTGTATGCTGCACAGTGTAGTGAGGAATCCTCAGACCTCTATATTGGAGAGACCAAACAGCAACTTCATAACGGGACAAGACTTGGCTGTCCACCCTCATCTAAAGGTCAAAGGTCACTCTTTCGAGGATGCCAATGTTCACATTTTGGACAGAGAGGACAGATGGTTTGAAAGAGGAGTGACAGGATCCATCCATGCCCACTGTGAGCGACCATCTTTGATCAGAGGCGGTGGTTTACGACACCAACTCTCTGCCATCTGTAATCCAGTTCTGAGATCCTTCCCAGACGCCTTAACGCCCACTCACATCCTGGGCCATCTGACCTCAGGAAATCACATGATAGGGTGGGGCCAGGTTTCACAATGAGCTCACCCGAAACCCTGGCTGATTGTGACCCACACCCAGTTTCACACCTTGGCTTGTGTGATTAGGTAGAGGATCAATAGAGGGTCCACAACCCTCTTAGGGACACTACCACAGGGCTTAAATCTGGGACTCTCCACCTACTCTTAAAACTGATGAAGCTTCTCAGATGAAACGTCTTCAAGAAACTTAAAAGAAGTTCAGACGCTTTTCTTTCCAAGCTCCTTAGACTCTACTTTCATTCGTTTTATCAAACAAATAAAAACAACTAAGTGATGAACTTTGGTTGATTTTAGATTTTTTTCTTTATTTTGGCATCAGTTTATTGATTTTAAATGTCCATCATCCAGAAAACTCCTTGAGCCTACGGAGCTACATCCTTCAGATGGTTTACAGTTCATCTCTGGGTGCTGTGACGCTCAGCAGTGCAGCTCAAGAAGACAAAACAATGGATGCTCGAAGTCTCTGACAGCAGGTTTGGAGGAGGGGTTTAATTCTTTTACAGCTTCTGGAATATAATGCATATAATATTTTTCCTTCAGATGGTTTAAATCACATCTGTCCAAATCACAGATGGGGAAAATGTTCATCCGATTTCAGGTTGACATTCCCCAGATGATGCTTTTTCCCCTCATTCTGACTCAAACCTTATAGAAACAAACGGGACAGGTAAGGATTTCCCAAACACAGTGAAACTTGAGCCTTTATTGTGAAAGGACAGTGGAGAAAGACAGGAAAGCTGGGTCAAACAGGTTTCCTGCTCAGTCCTGTGAGCGAAACTGAAGTGGTGCACCGCCCGGCTAAACCCAACAGTCCTGCATCACACCTGCCTGCAGCTCAACGCCACAATAACCACACCTGCTACGCAGCAAAGCCACGTATGCATTTTATAACATGTCACGAGATACATCGAGATCTGACTGATTATGTTGAATTTACCACCTCTGCTGAAAACGAGGCATTAAAAAAAGAGCCATTTAAGTAAGTATGCTGGGTAACTGGACGTACGAGGCCTGAAACCCTGAGGGTGACTCGGCGGTCTGACAGTAATCATGCTTTTCAGACTTGCATAAAGAAAGAGAGTCGGGAGTAGAGAGAAAGAGGAGAGCGATAAGAATGACTTGAAGCTGTTATCATGAGAACAGTTCTGCACCGTGACGTCAATTCAAACACCCCAAACTCGCCGCCTCCTCCACCCCCTCCGTTAACCCCAATCCTTGCTTGCTATTTATAGTCTGAAGACACGCGCCCCCCCCCCCCTCCGTCCTCCTCCCTGCAGGAGCAGCGTGGGAGGAGAGAGCGGCGCAGAGAGGAACGACGGGCTGGGGAGTGCGGCGGCTGTTCAATCGAGAGAAAAATTAAAGAGTGGAGTGCACTAATGGGAGTCTTCAGTCTTGTTCTGCCTGTCGGTTTTCTGAATGAGGCCGTAATAGGCGGGAATGTATTTGCTATTCAGAGAGCGTCGCAGCTCTGCAGACACACCAGAAAGTCTGACGTGTGATTTCTGTGTGAGGTCCCAGCAGGTTATAAACAGGTGATATACGAGTAAAAGAAAGGCTACAGGCTGTTAATTATAAATGAGAACCTGCTATAACAGAGAACCACTGCTGAGGAGACCAGTCAGAGGACACACTGCAGGAAGCTGCTGTGTGTGTGTGTGTGTGTGTGTGTGTGTGTGTGTGTGTGTGTGTGTGTGTGTGTGTGAGTTCATGTGTGGGTGGCGCTGCTCCCCCTGTGCAGTGCAACTTTAATCACTACTGGCAGCACTGATTGATGAAATACCAACAGAGATTTATCAAACATTTCTTCTGCTGCTGGTTACAAACTAACCCCAGAAAACTAAATGCAGCCCCGCTCAGTCAGTCAGCTCCACCTGCTGCATTTAAACCCCACCTTCAGCTACGGCAGGCGCGCTGGTCTCCAAATAACCACGCAGGGGAAGCATAACCTCACGTATTTATCACCCTGCACTGTAAAATATTTAAAAGCCTACTGGAGAATAAAATGCTGAGCTGAATAAAATATGACCGCTGAATCTTTAAAACCTGTTGTCGTGTTTCTGAACCACCTCCATCAGGTCACCAAGCTTCAGCCTTACACATTCAGACACGTCGGCAGCACCTCGTGTGGATTTCACAGGGACTAAATGTTTCTGCTCAGCAGCTTTACACACAGAGATGCAACACAAACCATTTTTATCATCATCAGGCTGGATTCTTCCAACAGTAGCAGCTCAGGGGGGCATCGCCTGACCTGCAGGGGGCGCACAATGCTAGTGAGTCAGTCAGAGCCGGAGGTGACACTGAACACACGAAGTACACTAACCAGCTGGAAGTATAAGAATGAGACACCGCTGCAGTTTGTTTGTTTTTGTTGTTGTTGTTCTGGGTTGTGTGTGTGTGTGTGTGTGTGTGTGTGTGTGTGTGTGTGTGTGTGTGTGTGTGTGTGTGTGTGTGTGTGTGTGTGTGTGGTTGGCAGACACCCTGTGTCGAGTGTCAGACCTCAGATGAGCTCTGACTGGGTGTCAACAGAGAGGAAGGAGACATCATGGAGTGAAGACGGGCCTGAGTGACACAATCCAACAAATTACTCGAAAACAAAAACGTGAACTAACAAACTCTTAAAGTATTCTAAGTATTAAAGTAGTCTTCTAGTTACACACAAATTAGGTGCTTTACTTGGGTATGACTCCTCCTCCATGCAACCCTTACGATTCAGAGGACAACCATGTGCTTTTTGTACCTCACTAAAATTATTTGACAGCTTTGTTTCCGTTAAAAATGAGTAATTGTATTTATTAATCTTTCTATAAACTGGCTATCCAGTCAGCAGTTTCAATATCCCAGAGGCTATGACGCCACCTGAATGCTTCTGTTTAGCACAGGGTGTCTTTGTAATCAGTGGTTCATGTTCTGGTCGTCACACATGATGACACGGAGGGGTGGTGGTATATCTGACAGGTATATGAGGAGACACTGGGACCCACTTGCTGATTCTATTTGTTTTCTCCATAGACTGTATATAAAAGATGGGCACAGCCACTGTGACATCACTGATTGGTTCGTAAAGACGTGCTGTGAAGCAGGTGGGGGTTGGAGAACCAGGTGCAGCACAGTCAGCTTGTGACTGATTACTCTTGAACGTACCCTCGATAATCCTCCTTCCTGACTCTTGCAGCGACCACGGTTTACTAGAGTAACTGCTCGGATCTCCAATCAAATTCAATATAACTGATAGTCTTTTTGCGACCATGTGTTGCCTGGCTGTTAAACAGAATACATGTTTAAAGCAACTTTGTGCTGGCTTCACTCTTCAGACCTGGAAGCAGCGCACTGTGGGGACTGACTCGCTTCTGGAGGCAGCCTCAAGTGGACATTAGAGGAACTGCAGACAGAGGAACTTGTTATTTGACTTCATGTTTCATTGTTTCCCCTCGCCATAACGTGAGACTATTGGCTACTTTCAGATGACTTCAAACTGCACGTAGGGAGGGTGGGTCTTATATTTCACAGCCAGGTGAGACGTGGTGGTTTGCCTTTATTCCACTCACTGCTAAGCTTTAGGCACTGAAACCTGTCCAGAGTCAGGAAAAGATGGTGATTCAGCTTAAAAAGCACCTCTTCACAAAGCTAACCCTGATGGCTGATGAATAGTGAGCTGGGAGTGACAAACCTTTCTCCCTAAAGAACACCCTGTGTCTGACAAACACCAGCAGCTTTGACAGAAGTGTTATTGAACACCGCGGGAACGAGAACAGACTGAAACTGAACTTCATACTGGGGCAAGAGGATGGTGCTATGGAGGTGGAGTTTACATGTTCCTCCTCATGTATGGACGGGTTCTCTCTGGGTGCTCCGGCTTTCCCCACGGTCCAAAAAATATGCACGGGGTTAGCTTGTTATTGTAAAGTGAGGTGTGAATTATCCGTCTGTGTGTTAGCCCTGAGACAGACGCGACACCAGGATGTACCCTGCCTCTTCCCCTATGACAGCTGGGATACACCCCAGACCTGAAGAGGGATGGATGGATGTTTATACTGATGCAGTAAAATGGTGCTGCTGTTTTCACCAATGCATGCTTTACTGCATGATGTGACAGGGCAGTCCATGAAAATTTGACCTTGATAAATAAAAGCGGACTATATAAATTCACCTAATAATTGCATCATACAAACTACATCTGAAAAGCCATTTTCCTACATATCATACTTTACTAAAAGAAAAATATCAGTGTTTTTATTTAGACTTTAACAGAATATTTCCTCCATCACTGCAAAAACTCTTCTGATTCGTGTTTGATTGAAGTCCAGGTGAAACCTCTCAGCAGCTCTGCAGAGGATCTGAGCTTTATAGGCTGATAGTTTTGTTGCACATTTCCTGTGTAGCTCAATCTGAGCTCCACCAGCAGCAGGTGGAGGTCTTCATCAAATAAGCTCCAGGCGTTTGTTCTTCTAAACTAAAGCCTAAATAATCTCAGAGAAGAAACAGAGATGTGTATGTAACGCAGAAGCTGGAGACCTGGGAATAAAAGAGTTTTCCCCACTGCAGAGATGTAGTTTTGCTAAGCTGTACATTTTCAGCTCACAGCCCACAGAATGAGACAGAAAATGAAGGCTGTCTATTTAAAGCTTTTCCTCCTCCTGGTGATTGTGTTCTGCTGGTAGAAAAGTGATTTTCCTCCGAGACAGACAGCCACATTGATTCGCACAGGCCGAGACGGTTTAATAAAGCCGGGGTGGAAAGAAAGAGACGTCTGAAAGACAGGGAGAGGCCAGTTTGTAGCTCCCTCGCTACAAATTGCCCTCAATGTGACATCGAGCACATCTTTGACGCATGCGGGTTTGCAACAGGTGGGGATGCATTTTATCCCTTAAAGAAACTGATCTGGGGTCAAACGGGTCACTAATGAGATGGTCACGAATGTGAGGTCAGCCTGAGGTCGTGTTTCAGGAAGAACAAAGGAGGAAGAAATGAAGAAGAAAGGACGGCGAGCGCTCAAGTATTTATTTGAAAAAGCTCTGAGGCACGAAACCAGCGAGAGGTGAGAAAAGCTGCCGCTTGCTTCCTGAAGAGGCCCTGCAGATGTCAAACAGCCACAGTGGTATTGTGTAATTAACTGCTAATGGCAGCATTAAGAGGCTCGCTCCCCCGTCTGAAAATACAAGCAGCGGTTATACAGTTAATTAACAGTCGTCGCTCTGACTCCAGGCTGAAGAAACAACAAAAACACAGAAGAGAAAAAATGATTTTAGCTCATTTCTTTTCTCACAGCCGGCCTGTGAGTTTATCTCATCTCTGACGACCTTCAATGATCAGTTCTGACACCTCAGCGCGTATCAACAAAGACGTGGTTTGATGATGGCTGCACGGGCAGAGACCCTCCCCAACTTCAGCTTTCTGAAAATCGGATTTGCTTAGGCTGCTGCCCCCGCGACCCGGCCTCGGATAAAGCGGATGAAGATGGATGGATGGATGGATTTGTCACTGATAAGTGTAACATATCATGTTTTATACAGTGCTAATTTAAAACAAGCAACTCAACACATAAAAAAATAAAGATCTAAAAGCATCCATCTTCACTTTTTCACTGGGTCAGTTGACTTTGTGTTCAGCCCAGGCAGTGTGGACTGAGCAGCTGAGCAGCAGCTCTTGTTTCTGTAACGGCAATTAAAACCATTCTCAGACTTTTCCCAGCAAAACTAAACTGAACTGTTCAGCTGCAAAGCTACGCTAAAGCTACGTAAGCTACAGTAAAAGCTGTGCAGATAAACTCTCAGCTGAGTTTGCCATCATCTTTGATTTGGGTAACTTTGCTGCAGGCTGACAGCAGCTCTGTGCTTCCTGTCATGAAATGTAGAAACATGCATGTGATGGTCTGAGGCTGGAGCAGCGTAACGCATGGCAACGCATGGCTTGTTTTTGCATTTCGAACATGATGTGATTTTGAATATATATATTTATATAAATGTGTAAACTGTGACTGTTCCTGTTGTTCCTCTTTGTTTTGAACAGACTCAGAAGTGGCATCTTTATAAAATCCATCCGTCTGTATCGCAGGTGGAACGGAGGCCCAGCCTAAACCAACCAAATTGACAGCACCGCCCACGGAGCCAGGCTGCTGAACACAAAAACCTAAACAGCTACTTTAAATATCTGCACGAGCCGGGGAGGATAAAAAAGCCGCCTCCACTCATCGGTGCAGAAACAGAGAAAACCTCAGTGGGCTCAGCGTTCGCTCGGTAATTGTCCAATTTAGGTGGACAGTGCCGAGTGGCGGGCTGGTGCATCCAACAGGAGCAGTGTTGAGGATGTCGGAGTCCCAGGAGGGGTTGATGAGAGGAGGGCATGATCAGCGGCTGGAGGCGGTGTGCAGCATTCACGTGGCAGCTGATAACAGAGCTCATTTAATTTCCTCTGTGTGCTGGGAGTCAGAGAAGGTGTGAGAGGGAAAATGAAAGAAAGCCAGTGTATAGATATATATAAACCTGTGTGTGTGTGTGTGTGTGTGTGTGTGTGTGTGTGTGTGTGTGTGTGTGTGCGCGCGCGCGTTGGCTTATTGGCGGCAGATTTATTTGGCGTCCCATCACCTCTCCTCCTCTCTGTGTCATGAACCCAACATGTAATATAAATCTGCCGTGTTTCCGCAGAGTGACGAGGAGGCGGCAGGAATGTGACGACGCCCAGGCGATGTGGAGCAAACACTGAGATGCTGTTATTATTTTTTCAATCGATAACAGCCGCAGTGCCGCATGGATTCAGCACGGCTGCTCAAACTCTGGATCAAACACTGCATATACTGAAAAAAAGGCTGGTAACAATATCTCAGTCCTTTAAACTGGGAATCAGATCTGTGTTCTAACCCCGGGAATACACACACACACACACACACACAC